TCACTCAGTTGTGATTCCTATCGAAAGAATTTGACCCTGAGCTTCAGTGCAACATAAGGACTTGTGTTATTATTTGTACTACAATACAGTAGATAGTCAAACTGAATCAAGACTACCGGTACCTTTAATACAGTATGAGGTCAATTTAGAAAGAAAACTCCAAGCTGTCAGGAGAAATAATTACAAGGAAGACACAGTGTTTTTCATTACATAACTGCAGTCACTCAAGCAACCTCAGCGTATAACAGAGCTGCTATTAAGAACATGGGTGTTAATGATTTGTGTTTTCACAGTAGACGTCTTGGATCTGAAGAGTATAGACATTTTCTTGTCCATGTACCTTCGTATGTAGTAGTACTAGTAGTGGTAACAGCTGTGTATGCTGTATTTTATTAATATCTAACTTGATCTACAGCATTTTGATAGAAATGCCCCATTTCTTCCAGGCTGTCAAAAAAACTCCTGCTTTGGAGTTCTGAATAAACTCAACTAACCAAATAAGGAAACAGAATGCAAATTAACAAAGTACAGACTACAATCGCAAATATGTTGGCACCAACAGCAACACCTTTCTAAGCTGCATCAGTAACTTTACAACGATTACATCTTTAGAAACAGATTGTGTCTCACTTCTGGTCTTAACTGAGAAAGGTAGACCTTAAAAGATTAAGTTGAGCTTAAAGCCAACCAACATTTCCCCTGTACCTTATCTGTCCTTCCAGAGAACATACCCAACATGCAGCATAGACACAACCAGATGAGGTCGGATATCTCACATGTCTCACATGATTTGGAGTATGAGCACTGAAAAGAAGCCATTATCCCCACAGTCGTTCATGTTTGTGAGATGTTTTCATATGCAAATATGTATTTGTAGCCGAGTTTCTAACAATACAGTAGCATTTAAGATTCAAGGCTTTGCCAGTGCTAAAGCAGATGGTGCATCCACAATAATATCCAGTGCTCAGTGGGGAATTATTTTTTCATCTGATTTTGATAACAGACTGTTTCTGACAGTTCCGTAATGAATAACATTTTAAGTAATGGACGCTTCGCACAGAGTATCATGAGATCACTGAAAGTTGGTATAAAAAGCTTTGAGGATTCTGACTCTTATTAATCATTTTTTAAATATATTTATATATTAAGATAAAACAAATACATTTTTAATTGTTTTATAAGAGTGCTAAGATTATTTTTATTTTCTGGCAAAGGTTCCAAAACTTGAGAATCATACTGGCATTAAATCTTAAGCAAAGCAACAACATTTAACAATTACATTCATTTTTTAATCAAACAGACAATTATTTCCCAAATGAGTTAATAAACCATTCAGTCTATAAACAGCAAGAAAAAGAAAGAAAAGGACCGTTATATATCTCTAGAGACAAGGGTTATGTCCTACAATAGCATGATTTAAATGACTAGTTGATTGTGAAATAGCCAAAGGTTAATTTTCTGAAAAGATTAAGCTACAAGTAAGAAATTAAACTCGTATTAACTTAATCCCTGTGTTGTCTTTTTGTTGATAAGGAAAAGTTCATTAGAGACGCATCATTTAAACTGATGCTACAGTCCTGCCATGAATCCTCTTTACAACAGTCATTTGTTTGAAGGATTTTAGTTAATCTCCTTAATAAAAGATGTGTTTGTATTAAGCCTGGCCCACTGATATGAATTACATGGGAAACAATAAATGTACACCTCTTATAGAAGGTTAAGACAAAAAACATAAATTTGGGGTTTTGGTACCGAAATGTAGTGATTACATCGTCAACATAATCAAACCTTAGCTTTCAATCTGGGAACCCTTCCGTAATTAGTTTCTATCAACATCTGTTAGACAGAATATACCTCTGGGAACCGTTGTTACTTTCTCTGTAATATCAGTGAAACCAGCGGTTAGCGTTGAACGACTTCCAGACAAGACATCTCAGAGTAGCGCATGTTCATTTCTTGAGTCTCAGTACAGTTCAACCGTAAAATATAAGTTACAAAGCAGCTTCACTCTGACTCACTTCAGTGGTGAGAGTCCGAAAAAGAAACCTGGCCGAACTCAACTGTTTCAATTAACAGGGCCAAAATTTCAACATTGTAATGCAGATTTGTAAAAGGTAAATAGTAAAGCTTTTTCAAGTCTGTCCTGAAGATGAGAATAAAATGACGTTTAAAATTTGTGTTTGTTGAATGGAGGTCAGATGGATTATTTCTGATGTGTTTCACATAGTCAGAAAATCTGAATGCTTTTTGGCTATAACAACACAGCATCAAGCAGATTCGTGGCTCAAGTTGAAATGTGTGTTCTATGAGAGATATCTGCACTTTTATCTCGATATATGTTTTTAGAGGTCAATAAGTCATAGTTAGATTACTGCTGATGGAAGCTGGTAAGTGATGAGCGTTTTCTTTGATAGGAAATAATAAGGCTTTCATCCCACAGTGTTGATACCTTTTGCCCTGTTTGAACAGGTCACATCCTTTCAGAATGGGCACCACCTACACAGTTAGGATCTGTGGTGTTTATTGAGGGAGGAGGCCCTGGGCAGAGCCGCTATGCTGGGTCCTCTGGGACATGGTCTATGCAGTGGCTGCAGAGTTATCTGCTTAGATTTTAGGCTATGCCCCCTGAGCCCGGACGTGAGGGACTTCCTGTGGTAAATATGGTGGAGTCCAACAACTAACATTATCACATTTGACTCCATACCCTTGTCTTTCTCTCTCTCTATCAGTATTTGTCTTTATTGGCTGTGATACTTTCCATGCAACATTTCTGAAAAAGCCACTACTCTCAGTTGCAGCTACACCAAATGCTGCCAATGTGATATAACTCCTTTACAGAACTGATTGATGTGTTGCTATTTACAAAGTAATTTTACTTTTTAGATATATAAATATAATATAAACAAGCAGGTCTGCTTTAAGGCATTATTTCAGCAGGGTATCCCTTCTCATTATGTGGCAACTACAAAAATAAAAACCAATGTGAATATTTACTGATCCCTGTAGTGCTGAATGTTTTTCCTCCCTTCAGCAATGTTAAAGGTCAAGATCTACTACAGAACAGCCCTGTAAGAGCTGGTACAAAATCAATATATTTCTAAAAAATGCTGAAGTAGGGTTATGCTTTGAAAAACTAAGGTTAGAATCAGGTCAGCCAAAGCACACTGCTGAAAATCAGCTAAAATACCAAATCTCTTTAACTGCTGGGTTATGCTGAGCTTGTTGTTAGGGGAGTAACCGCCTGTGGGACAGTTTCTGTTCTAAAACAAGTCTAGACAGATACAGAGCAGTCCTAATGAATGTTATTGATAGACGTGATGGGAAAAAAAACCCCTAGCAAATTGGCTGGTGTTTCAGAGAGACAAAAACTGTAGAATTTGAGCCTCATTGAAATAATTTTCTCCAATCAAATCATAGTGTGACTATTTTGAATAAAGCAGCCCTACGCTTATAACATATATCTATAAGTGAACTCCTGCATCGTATGCTTCACTCAGCACCGAAACTACTGACACAAATTCCTTTCATTAATGACACTTGTTGAATGACTGAGCTATAGAAAGGAAAGGAAGTTCCTGTCTCCAGCTCTTACAGCACAGCAGGCTGATAACAGGCTGCCCCGCAGGCCTATCTAGTCATATTCTGACTGACAAAAGTCAAACATGCCACTCACACTTTCCTTTGCAAAGACGAGCTCACGCAGTCTGGGCTGAGAGGAGGACACAGAAACTGTTTTTGTTTTCATGACCTCAACAAAGACAAATCACTGAGCAGATTTTGCAATTAATGATGTCAGATGGGCCTAAAGGTGAAAGTAATTTGCCAGTATCCAATGAAGTTAAGTCTCAGATCTCTCTTAATCCTGGATTGAAGGTATGCAGGCTGGTAGAAAGCTGGCAGGGCGTGCCTTTACAAACAACATCTAGCTTTGACACGAGACAATCAAAGTTGACGTTTAATGGCCAGCACACGGCTAATCTCGTAGAAAAGCTGCTTATAAAACTGTTTACTTGAACTTTTACAGCAAGAATTCACCTTGCATTTGTCAAGGAAGAGTTTAAGATTCCTTACTTTAGTCAAAGAAGCATTACAACTTGGTAAAATACTCTGCTACAAGTACAAGTTTTGAATAATGTACCTGCATAGAAATACAAAAGGTATATCAGCTAAATATGTATCAAAACTAAAATGTACTCAGAAAAGTACTCAGTTATGTTACCATCATTTATTACATACTGGATTAGTGTTTTTATTTTGATTAGTGGCATTTTACAACTCTGTCTAAGTTGGAGCTACTTCAAAATGTTCACTATACTATGAAATAGCATAGGCCCCTAAATTTCGAAATTTAGGGGCCAGGGACCATTGAACAGGCCACAAGATTAGTGTAATGACATGATGTACACGTTCAATGTTGTTAATCTTGTTTGTCAGCTTTAATGGGGGTAATAAAAAAAAAACAGGGTCACATTTCTTTGATGTGTACACATGCCTTGCCAATATGCTGATTCTGGTTAATAGTGCAGTAAAGTTGAGAATCAAAGTCCAACAACAAAAAGCTGCATTCATAAATTGGACAGTGACTTCTATGTAATCTTAGATTCTCCTCGCAAATAGATGATCATTTGATCTCTGATATCTAAATGAAACCACCTGAGAGGTTCAAAAGGACAAATGTTACAATGACCACAACTACTGACAAGGAGCCTTAACGAGACACCTTTAGGGCCCCGTGTGCCATTATGAGTTTGACTGTACTTTAGACTTATATATTTAACATAAACATAATCCTAAAAGGAACAAGCTGCTAAATGTTAAATAGGCCAAAGGTAGTGAAGTTTTTAAGTAACTTTTTACACCACTGCCTAATTGAAAACTAGAAAGAATGGGATATGTGGAACACTTAAATCGAGCTTTAACACTTGAACGCAACACAAAAAAAATAAAAATACTTGTGACTTTTTTTTCTTTTCTCTCCCGAACAACAGGTGAGCTCTTACCTCAGGTGGATTTAGATTAAACGCCTCTGCTATTTTCCCATACAACTCCTTGACGTTGGTAAATCCCTCGATCCTGCCGGTGGGACTTCCGTGAGCAAGCTGCGTGTGGAAGACGAGTTTGGGCCGCAGGTTGGCAGGTGGAGGAGGGAGCCCCGCTCCGTTCACGGCGGTTTTAGCGTGACTCCCGGCACCTGCGTGTCCACCGCCGACCTCCTCGTTTTCCACCAAATGCTCCTTCGTCGATTTGTTTTTCTTCCTCCATGGTCCTAACGGCATTTTTTTGTTTAATATGGTGGGGGGGTTTCGACGCAGATAGTAAAAATTCCGAGCCGCTGCTATAACATTGAAGTAGCTAACCTGTTGAGTTCCAAGCCCAACGGTCGACTTGTCCTTATTTACTTCCTCGTTTCCTCCGAGCTTTCCTGGATTCCTTCCTTCCTTCTTATCCGACAAACTCTTTTCCCCCTCCTCACCTGCGAGCAGTTTAGATCGCACTGTAGTTCTTCGAAAGTGACTTTACCTCCCCTGCCTGCAATAAGTGGTGTGAATAGTCAACAGGTAGGTAGGTGGTGAGTAGGCGACGGGATAAACTCTGACACAACCTGCTGGCTAACAATAGCCACTCTGTTTGTCTCGCGTGCCGTGGGACGCAGGCGCAGTGGGATGAACCCGAGCTGAATGCAGGGCAGGAGGACCAGGCCCAGTGCACCTGTGCTCCATCACCGGGGGCGGGGGGTCATTACTGTCAAAATAAATTATGCAGAAATATGCTTAGAATCACAAGTGAAAATGGCTTGAGGTGATAGGCCAAAATATTGAAAAACTGGATTTACGTTCGGGAATGAAGCCTTTCATTGTCTAATTAAAGGCCATATCCAGGGCCCCGTTACAGACCATTGTTCCGTAGTCTCTAATCAAAGTGTCTCTCTCCAAAATTAAAACTGGTGAAGTCAAGCTGGCAGCCAGGCCAGAATGAGAATAATTGTAAGTTACTGTAAAAGTAAGTAGCCTTTGCATTATCATTTAAGGGAAGCCTACTTTTGCAAGTGCTTCCAAGTGTTGATGTTGAGTTTATTATGATTATTGGAGCACTGCATTATTGTATTACTTATCATTCTGTGGGACAGTTAATAATAGGCTATAAATTATTATATGTGTGTATTTTCTCATTGGGAATCAAAAGTGACCAGTCATTAAATTTAATTTGAGTTATTCCATGTTTTTTAATCGAGTAAATAGCAACATGTTTGCCTGTTAATGTAGTTAAGTAGATAGGCTATGAGGTAAATGTCATTTGATAGCCTACTCCTTAACACTGGAAACAAAACAAAACTCTAATTATAGTCCACCCCTAAATGATCTAAAACATGTTAAAACATATTCAAGTGTAGCTAAATGAGTAGGTTATAGATCTATATAATGTAATGTTTAAATAATAACATTTTTTTCAGAATCTGCAGTGTGCATCTATCTGTATAGTAGGGAGGAATGTTACAAACTGGGTTTGCTTTATTTATTGCTAACATGTTTTTTTTCTTTAGTTAAAGAAATTAGAAAGAAATTAAAATTATAATTGTTTTACCTTTTTATATTGATGTTCTTGAATTATGATTTTTACTCCCACCTGCCCCTGTGCCAACAGGTCTGTGATAAAGGCTCATTAGATAAGGACCTTTCAGACGTTAAATTGCCTTAAAATGTGGTTTATTTTCATGGAGAGGCATTAACATTATCTAAGAGGGGGTTGAACAGTTCTTACACTTATTTAAAACCATTGACTTCTGTGAAGCATGTTATGGGTAACAGATACATGTGTAAAAAGCCCATACACTGTTTGATGAATAATTTTCCTCCAATATGATTGGATAAGCAATAAGGTGTTTTTTTCTTCCAACTTCTTTTGAAGATACAATAACTAATTCAACATGGAAAACCATGAGGCAGGCAAACTCACACATTAAGAAGGAACAGGTGTGTTTACTCTCCACCCTCCTTGGGTAATAGTGACTCATCATTTGCACAAATCTCTAACACATGTTATTAATACACATTTATTTTTTACTAAAGGAGCCATCTGTGCACCCAAGGGTCTCAATTTCTGTCTAGCAATTATTTTACAACAATAGATTCCTATCTTTAGATGTATACTAATAAGATCCTCATATGTGACATAACAAGGAGCCCGCCTCACGCACCCCCCAGCCATGATGAGTGATGTGGCGGCCCCTGGTGGGAAAATGTAAAGGTCTTTGTGTTGGCAGCTGATGACCAGCAGCTGAGACCAGACAGCTATATTTAAACATTCATAATGTTCCTGTTAGTAAGCATTTAAATGCAGTCAACATATTTTTAGTCACACTATCTTTGCACATCTGACTATTGCAATATAACTTTGAAGCTATTCTCTTGTACTGACTGTTCACTAGTTATTAGCTTTCTGCAACATTCAGGTTTCATATTGATAATTCTGAATACATTACAATTTACAATTAGAGAGTTGCCATTTCTCACCATAACAAAAAAAAGCTCCAGATCACTTCATGTGGAAATATTTATTTTAAAATTCAAGTTCAATGTATTCACTTGTCAGTTTCTTAAAATACACACGTGACAATCCACATCATTCATCCAGTTTCCTCTTGAGATACCTGTACGCACATTTAAAGAAAGCCTCTAAATTGAGGCTGTTTTTCTATTCATAACAAAATAAACATGGATGGCAGGTGGCAAAAAAATCTCAGTAATAAAGCCTTTTAAATTAAAATAAAAGCAACAAAATTAACTTATCTGGCACTGCAATGTTTCCCCAGGATAACAGATTTTTTTTTGGCAACTGTAGACACATTCACTACCGAATATTTGCACAAACAAAAAGATAAAGTGATTGTAGCAAAGGCGCACAAACATAACATGTTATGAACAACCCAGACAGTCTTTCACTTATATCAGCCTGGCAGCATGCATGGTATTTATAAAAAACACCACATAGCTCAAAAATAGAGATTGCACATCCCCCAGCAGGGGGTCCATCTGTGGACTTTCAGAACTGTCCTCGTGTGTTTGTGTGTGTGATAGTGCGAGTGTGTTCAGTAACGAGCTTTGTCATGTGGTTGTCTCATTTTTCCTAGGTTGGTAAATGCCGTTTCAGGACGTCCTTGGCGTTGCCGGGTAAGGTGTCGGGAAAGTTCACGTCAAACTCCACCACCAGATCTCCTCTCTGTTCGGGGTTTTTGGGCAAGGGGAGACCCTGCCCACTGACAGTCTTTCTCATGCCAGGCTTGACGACATCCGTGATCTTCATGTTGCACGTCTTGCCATCTATCGTTGACACGGTAACCGAGCATCCGCACAACGACTAAAGACACAAAAAGCAAGGAAATCAGAGTGAGATTCTGGAGAACATCAACCCACACATGGTCTGCTGTGTGCAAAAATAACACAAGGATCTGTTTGTGCAGTACAGTGCTGGGTGATATTGGTGAGGTATTGCTAAGGATGTGTTCTTCATATATCTATATGTTGCACTAGATCCAGAATATTAAGATGTATGCATCAATATTTTCCCCCATTTCTAATAATTAAATATTATATACTGTAGTTGAATATTTACAACAAAAACATTTTTTTAGTTTTAAGAAGTGTGACTAAGATATTTACTGAGCAGAACACTTGTACTTTATAATGATACTGTTACAGTAACAGTTTCTTAATTGTTCCAAACTTGTCATTAATAGCAAAGGTTGTGTTGCCTATGTGTAAATCTTAACATCGGCACTATGAATATGCAGTAAGCTTACTTAAGCTGATATATTGGATCAGCTCAAGCAGACATTGTGCTGGTTGCTCAAGTTGTTGCGAAATGGTTTCTTTAACTAATGCTTCCAAACAAACCCTCTGAATATCTACAGTTTTCAGTCGTTTTTTGTCTCCATCTGGTAGCTTTTCCAGAACTTTTACTGAACCACAACAGCAATGCACTGTCCTCTGAGTTTGCTCAGCTGTCGTGGTGGAGATGGCTCAGTTGTCATCAGGTGACAACAGGTGGTCCAAATCTCTCTGTCCAACAATGGAATTTAGTTTTGAATGAAATCCTTCAACTTTCTCTTTTATTTTATTCTCTTTTCATGTCTTTCTAATGAAGACTGTAAGGTGCTATGGAAAGCCCTAGTACAGCTATGGTACCTGAATAAAAAATAAACTACTGAACTATTCTTCTTGATTAAAGTTACAACTATTGATTTGATACAACTCTTTGAATTTAAAATATGAGATGAGGCTGTGAGCTTTATCTCTAAGAGTAGGAGGAACCATATAAGTACATCTTGAGGAGTGTGTGTGTGTGTTTGTGTGGGTGGGTGTGTGTTTGTGTGTGTGTGTGTGTGTTTGTGTGTGTGTGTTTGTGTGTGTGTGTGTGTGTGTGTATGGGTGGGTGTGTGTGGGTGTGGGGGCGGGCGGGCACCGCCTCCCTGCCCACCGTGTGATACAGCTCCTATTTTCTTAATGTTGATGATCAGAATTACATAAGTGCACAGCCAAAGTGTGTAGTTCAGTACTATGCTCATTCAGTACAGCTGTACATCCAGAGGAAACAGCTACCGAGGCAGCCTACCTACAGCTTATTGATTGTGAACAGCTTTTTTGGAGCACCAGCGCTTAAAAGCAGCACTCTAAACCTAAATGTGAGATTGTACTGGCTCTGCCCTGTGTGTGACTAATACATCCATCAGACTCTATTAATACTGAAACACTCAAAGTGTGAGTCAAAATAGAAAATGCCTCACCTGTCGCAAGCTCACACGCACAGGATAGACAATGTTCGAGCCCTCTCGCCTAAAGTGTGGATGGGGCTTATCCTTGATGACGAAAACAATATCAGCAGGAATCGTACTTGGTGACTCATCTCCTTCCCGTGGAAATGTGATCTTGGTTCCCTCCTTCCAACCCCGCTTGATCTCAATAGTGAGAATCTTATCCTCTGTGCGCATGGTCCTGCCGTCTGGATTTAACCTTTTGCGAGAGATTTTCATCCTCTTGGTGCAACCGTGGAAGACCTCCTCCAGGGTGACCCTCAGTTCATGGATGATGGCCGGGTCCTGCTTCCGGCGCTGAGGCCCCCCGGGGCCAATGTGCCCGTCCCGAGGGAATCCGTTCAGGTTGAAGTTGGTGAAGGAGCCAAAGGGGTCGTTTCCATCCACATCCATGTCCTCGTCGTCTCGACCGTTTGCTTTACGCCCAAAGAACATCTCGAAGGGGTTTGAACCCCCGAAGAAAGTGGCAAAGGTGGCATGAGGGTCCCCGTGGAACGTGTAGGTGAAGGTGCTGCCTTGTCCATCAGCAGTGGGCCCATTTCCTCCCTTGAGACCTGAAGGGCAACAGAAATGATGCATGAGTCATCCTAACATTAAATTCAGCAGCAGGAGAGCTTTCTGCCACATGTGAAGTCTACTTTGACACAATCCACTATAACTAATCCACTTGCAATGCAGAATCATTTCTAAGGTAATTTTCAAGAAAAGATAACCATCAGACAATTGCAGCTTCTAAAGTGTGAGAGAGAGTGTGGAGACCTCCCTCTTTGCATAAAATGTGTGTGGATATATTTAGGCCAACATCAACCAACAATCAACAATAAGCTGGAGGGCTCATCTGAGGACGACTCAATGATAAAATAAAGACCAGAATAATTGACCGTGTAAAAATAATCTGTAGTCGCAGCTCAACAGATTAGCTGTCAGTCTCACTAAAGAATTCAGTGTTTTGTCTGAAATTAATTCAGTCACGACAGCCCACCGTCTGATTTCAGAGCACCATAGCAACCTTTGGGATCATATTGCCTGACGTTAAAAATGACCCCAGTGAGTTTCCAAAAAGTCTTTAGTAAAATGAAAGCCCTATTGAGGAACATGGTCCATATCACGAGGTCTGATTACTAATGATCTTTGAGCATTATCACTGCTTCATTAAAACAGCTGTCATTCAAAACACTGAATTCTTTTGTGGTCTTTTCAAACATTTTGCTTTTGAAACAAGACTTTAGCAATATTTGGACCACAAAATAAAAAACTGCTACCCAAATGAAATGGAATTATCGGACTTGAGAGAGTTAAAAGTCTGATATCACAAATGTAAAATCTAAAATTGTGGTTAAAGTAAGGTCTCTGGAGAGATCCCTGATAACTATGGAGCTCTATAGTATATCAATGAGTCAGGCTATAGTGTTTTAAAGGGACAATTAAGAGTTTTTAGGAACTCTGACACTTCACATTTAAATCATCCAATTTGTAACCTACTCAAGGCATGGATTACGATTCTAATGTTAAACATATATCACCAATTAAGCACAGACACACATGTTTGACACAGGTGAATATCCCTCTGGATCTATATGATTCTGTGTTTTGTTGTTTGAATTGGCAGGCTAATATGTGACTGTATTGTGTTCATATAGCACACAGTACATTTGCATGCTTTAGCAGACAATGCTCAGCATGTTTGCTACATAAATGTTAAAAGCATTATCAGCCTCCTTAGACATGAATTGAATGTATACTGGATCTAATTGAATTAGATAGACAAGGTGCTACATGACAGCTCTGACTAAATCAAATGCCATTTTATTTTTTACTCCCACAGTTTGTTCTAAATCTGTGGTGAAATGGTTTGGCCCTATATGGCAATAGAATTCAGAAAAAGTGAAAGAGATCATCACTGATATTAAATGTACAGAACAGTGAGTCTGTGATTTACTGAACAGCTGTTTTCTCGGCCTCCTCCTGGGTAACAGTGAGTGACTTGAATTAAAGCCAGCTGGATTTTACATCCAACCATCCAGGCAGCAACAGCACATTTATAACGGTGTGTTCAAGGTGGATTGAGAGCCGAACACGGTGTAATGAAGCGAGAACAACCCAGACATTACCTTCCTCTCCATACTGATCGTAAACTTCTCTTTTCTTCGGATCACTGAGGACTTCATAAGCCTCGGCGATTTCCTTAAATTTCTCCTCGGCGGCTGCAGACTTGTTTTTGTCCGGGTGCCATTTCAGCGCCTGTTTTCTGTACGCTTTCTTTATATCCTCCTCTGTGGCTCCTTTAGAGATGCCCAGCGTTTTGTAGTAGTCTTTACCCATTATCTAAGGTATCCCCGAGGATGAATTATGATTTTTTTTTTTTTTTAAATAGTAGAAAAGCCCTTAGAGGAGGGGAACTGGATGGGTCTGGTCGACGGCTGGTTGTCACAGCAGAGAGTCGGCTTCAGTCCGGACTAATAAAGAGTAAGAAGCCGCAGACAGATACACAGTGCAGGATGAAAACCATTTAGAGGCGGGTTCGTCAACGCAGTGGACCTTCTGCTATTTCTCCGTGACTGGATGACCCTCTTTAAATAGCCTCAGCTCCCTCTCTCCAGCATCCACAGCGCCAACGTCAAACCCAAGTCAGCGAAATGAATCTAGTTCCTGTGAGCTCAGCCTCTTACTGGTGAAATGAACGAGCTTTGAGGGGAGGTATCTTATGTTGGAAGGCAGTGAGGATGAAGTATTCAGATTTTTCACTTTGCTTAGAGTAGGTGAGACCGGGGGAAAGTGGTACATTGTTCACATTTTCCCTCATAACTCACAGATTACATTAAACACTGTCATTATTGTTTATAACAAATGTGCATGGGCCTGTGTTTGCACTGATTTATAAACCAATTGTTGTGGATTAAGTAATCAGGATCAGAGATGATTTGATTTAATTAAAGAAGTTTTCCAGATATGTCTGAATTCAGAGCAAAATAATGTGTTTTTGCAGACAATAGGCTACTAAAGTGAGGATTGGATTTTGATTATTCAAAAGGAGTCAAAAGTATATTTTGCTCAAAAAGAGTGTCTAGCTGATGAGGGTAGTCTCTTACCACACTTTATTGAAATGGTACAAGATAAACATATTGACAGAATAACAATAAAATCAAGTGGAGATATTATTCATTACATTTTTAAAATAGTTACAAACAACACATTTTGTTTTCATTTAATAAAATATAGAGATATGGCCTTCTTAAGTAAGTCATTAGTATTCATGTTTTGTTCTAAAAGCAGGGTTGTTCTGTTGCAGATGTTTGAAGTGGAGCTGATGCTGATATGTTGTTTTCTCACAGGGCTTTCTGATGTATTTATTATGGACTAATGTGCTGAATTTGAGTAGCTGATAGTTGGGTTTTTAAAACTCCAGAAAATTTTGCGAAATATCATATTTTCCCCAGAACCATTTGTTTTTACCAAATGTTGAGTCAAAATGTGATAAAAGAGTTTGACACCAGGAATTATTTTGTTGGTGAAGTTATTCTCAGAGTATATTCAGCAAAAGGACAGAGCTCGTAGGGGTCTACCTGTCTGACACTGTATCAGAAGACAGCAAACATTATAAACTGAACACACAATCTGTGAGTTTTTGTTGTGCTCCCAGGAGCAGTTTCTTAAAGAGAAACTAAACTAAAGAGAATAACGAGTTTCTGTGACAGTCCCTGAACTTCTACAGGGCTATGACATCCATCATTACTGAAGTCAACCTGAGATAAAACAGAGTTAAACCAAGGTATGATTCATTTGCAGGAAATATAAAACGACGTGTATCTTACAGTTATGTAGTCATTCTTAAATTAATTTACATACAGAGTCCACATCTCAATATTATAAGAACCATTGTTTATTTTGTTGTTAATTGGCCAACTGATCATGAAAAATAACAAATATGGCTTTCATTTGTTTTGAATGCAAAAAGTAAAAACATTTGTGAAGAATAAGCTGTCAGTTAAATGTGTTAAAGTAAAAAGTTTTCCTTTTGACTTGTAGAAGAAGTGGTTCAGCCACATGTAGAGTGAAAGTTCTGGAAACGTGAAAGTCTCCAAAAGTACAGTTCTTGAGTAAATGTGTTAATTTGTTCTACCCCTCTACTGTTAGAGAGTTAACAGTAATCAAATAAGATAAATATTTAAATGACCAAATCCACCAGGGGGCGCTGTGATAAACTCTCAGCTCAAGCAATAATACATATTTCAAAGACAAATAGCCTTCTAATGTTTGTTATAGATTGATAGATATTTTTGTCCTACTGGTTCCATGTTGAATCTATATTTTTATGTTTTAATCTTATGTTTATTTGTTTTTTACCATACATTTTGTTTCGTGTTTTTTATCACTTGAATTTATCGTTTTTTTTGTTATCAATTCTATCTGATTGTATCCAAAACCCCAATCTTATGTTTATTTGTTTTTTACCATACATTATTTTTCATTTGTCCTTTGTTATAGTCTGTGTAATCTTTACAAGCAGCTCCACTAAATTGGGATTATTAAGTGTTTGTCGGCTCTCTTGCAGCCACAGCGCCCCCTGCTGTTCCACAGAGAAATTGTTGCCCTATGCGCTAATGTTAAAACCGCTTGCACTGCAGTGGTTCTGTTTTCTGCCGGTGAGTCAGCGTCAGAGCTGCATATCAATAACCTCTGATTGTTATCAATGCAATAATTCTCTCCGTAAAACTTCAGCGTAGCAGACAGACTGCATTTTTTTACTGCCTAGATTTTTAAACTGACTCTAATTTGTGTCCAAACGAATCATGGATCAGTTTCGTGGTTTATTTGTAAAATTGGACCAAAACAAGGATGGATTCATATCCGTATCGGAGCTGCACAATGAAATGAGAAAGCATGGGATCCTTTCAGGTGATGGCAAGGTCAAGGTGAGAGTCTTAATGATTTTATGTAGAGCATTTACTGTGTGTGTGTGTGTGTGTGTGTGTGTGTGTGTGTGTGTGTGTGTGTGTGTGTGTGTGTGTGTGTGTGTGTGTGTGTGTGTGTGTGTGTGTGTGTGTGTGTGTGTGTGTGTGTGTGTGTGTAAGGGTTTATTTTCATTCATTTACCACGAACCTGCTAATGGGCGAGTCTTGATCCCCCTTTAGAGTATCATTGACTCTTATGACAAAGACAAAGATGGCCTGTTGGATTATAAAGAGTTCCTCAGCTACATGATGGACAGAGAGAGGAAATGGAAAATTTACTTTCATGAGCTCGACAAGAACAAGTGTGGTGAGTGTCACATGCCTTAGGCTATTGAAACATTTTCATATCTCTCATGGACACATCATAAAACACCATAAAGTATGAAAACCCCAGTATAACACACACCACGTTGCCTAATGAAATATGAATCTCTATTTAAGGTATTTCCTTTTTTTCATGCTAGTTGTTACTGTAAAGTTATAGTTTTCTACTGATCCTACCTGGGCATTTTCTTTATAAACCACCTCAAATGCTAATTCTCTAACAAGAAGCAGCATTTTGAAGGTCAGGCAGGTAAGGCAACTCCGCAAAAGATTTGTTTATGGTACACAGAAGACAATGCACTGCACTGTGTGACCCTTACACCCTTAGAGTTTACTGTATGACTTCCTAGAAATAAAACTGGAGCAGTGCTCGTATCTGTTTGTAATTTTGTGCATTTCTTCTCTGATCAGGGGTGATTGACCAGGAGGACATCATAAGTTTGTTTAAGGAGTTAGGAGTGGTCATATCAAAGCCGAATGCAAAACAAATTATTCAAATGTAAGAGTTCTTTTGCCCACTCCACTGTACCCTATTGGTTTATTGTTGTATTGAACGCACATTCATTCACCTTTAAACATGCACAGGAACCTTTAGCTGCTCAGATCAAAACATTTGATTACCAAACAATAAAGATGATAGCATCACTGTACAATTTAGTTTCTATAGTTAATAAGTTATCAGAGATTGCTTCATATTATCAGTGTTTACTTAACTATTCCTCCTTACAGATCAGTTATACTTATAAAAATAAAATGAATTTAAGTTCAAGCTGAAATTAAAGCACCTGTGGGTAGTTTTCAGCTGAATGAAATGAATACTGATGACTCTATATGCTCTACAAAAACTTTCAAGACCATCAGGAATTAGATTTGTATTTCTTAAGTGTATAATAAGGCCTGAAATGGCTGCAGAGGGGTAGGTGTCATCAAGTAAATTAACTGCATGCTGAAGAAACTGACTTTAAAAAAAAACATTTTCCACAGAAAAGGTTTACATTGTGTGAAAAGTTTGATTGTTCAAATTTAACCAGGAGAAATATTTTTGAATAAACCTTACCTACACATGTACAGGACAGTATCAGTATAGAGATAAAAGGTATCTCTTTGTCCACAGGGGGCGCCAAAATAATCACTTACCAAAAGGTCCTCAAAGGAGCTTTTTTAAGGATTTTTTATTTTTTTCACCAAATGGCCATTAAGCCTTTGATCAAAGGAAAAGAAAAACGTTTATAGCTCAGTAGCTGGGACGTGAAAGGAGGATTTAATCTGGACTCATTTGACAAACTTTTATATCTCTGTATTATAATAGATTATGAAGACATTACTAGAAACTTTTCAAATCATGATTTGTTTTCCTTTTTGTAAAGTGATACTAAGATGACACAGTTTGGTGACAAATGACACAACTGCTCATTATGACTCTTCACTACAGCACGTGTTAAAACAAACAAACTACTACTTTCTGTCTCTGCTGTATGTGAACTAAAGGATGGATAAAGACAGCTCCATGACAGTGGACTGGGGTGAATTCCTGCATCATGTCATCCTCAACCCTGTGGACAACATCAGGGAGCTAGTGTCGTCGTGGAAACACGGTCTGGTGAGATCATCCGGCATCATCACACTCATTACTGTTGATAATTGAGCAAGGCAGAGGTGTAAGCCCAAGCTGTGACACATTGAGTGTCCACTTGAGTGTGAGTAATAGCACAGTGATTGAAGGATGACAAATGTTATTGTTCACTTTGTCCGTATGCAGGTTTTCGATGTGGGTGAGAGCCGTGCGATGCCCATCGAGTTCTCTGAAGAGGCGTCTGGTTTTGGGGCCTGGAGGACGTTTGTTCTGGCAGCAGGACTGGCCGATGCTGTATCTAGAAGTGTGACAGCACCCATTGACCGCCTTAAGACCCAACTTCAGGTCAGCCACACAGCATCAGGCGCTTTTGTGTAATCCATCAATAGATTGTAGGAAAACAATGAAGGAATGAATAGAAAACAACGAAAAAACACACGCTGGATAGTATGGGGTACAGGTTCATAAAAAGTAATGATGCATTCATAATGAAAAAGTTCAAAATTTTTAGATCACCATTTTATTCCAGGACAGCTTATGTAGCACTGGGAGGTTAAAAAAAATCTGCTTCAATCATAGGTGTACTATATGAGAAATAGCTCCCTGTGTAAACATGTAAATGACTGCCAACAGTCACTTTAAGTAGAACTCTGGTCTATGAGCCCCCTGACCCTTTTGGCAGCTTTAGGAATTGTTTGTGACTGAAAGGGCATTTTAGTTCCTTTTTAACATGAACATGTGCAATGATTACCGCTGTCACCTCACAGCAAGAAGGTTTCTGGTTCAAATCTCCATTCGGACAGGGGCTTTTCTGTGTGGCGTTTGCATGTTTCACCCCGTGCATGTGTGGGTTCTCTCAGAGTACTCCAGCCTCCTCCCACAATCCAAAAGACATGCACCTTAGGTTATATGGTGACTCAGAATTGGCTGTAGATGTGAGTGTGAGTAGGACTGGTTGTTTGTCTCTGTCAGCCCTCTGATTGACTGCTGACCAGATCAGGGTGAACATGACAACAGGGGGTCTCCAGTTACCCCATGATCCCAAACAGGATAAGCTTTATGGATAATGGATGGATGACTGGATGATCTGATAAAAAACAAACACCTAAACATTTCTGACATAAAACCCTTGTTTTTTAATTGATTTTTGTTCTTTAGTTAATGTGAAAAAACCACAGACAAACACATACCTGTAACAATATTACATTGTTTCATTCCTTTGCAGTAGTTCAGTTTTAATTTCTTTAATTGTTCTATTTGCCGACTCAGGTGGTCCTTAAAGCTAAGCCTATGCTGTTACACACTGTAATTAAAGGACATGCATCAACTGGGTTTCATTTCAAATTTAGTCACTTTGTGTCCTCCGAGGAGTAATTTATATCATCTTTAATATTTTTAAGTTGTTTAGAATTTGTTGTTCCAGGATGTAATTCTTTTGACCAAGCCAAAAAAAAACAAAAGCACAACCTGAAGTCAAGAACGAAAACCTAATCCTGTGGTGTCTTGATCTTAACAATAAATCACCTGAAGATATTTTTTGTCCAAGGGCAGAGATAGCCTGTCAAGTGCTAGCTACTTATACCTTGTTGTATGAAATGTCTCCTTACTGATACTGGAAGAGCATTCAACTTACTGTGTGTGACATTATCTCATTAAGAGGCTTAATGCTGTTTAATGTGACATCCTCACCTGTAATCATTGAGGTCTCAAATCGTTAATACTTTATCAAGCTGCCTATAAAATGATTTTCTTTGTGCTTTGTAGGTTCATGGATCCAAGGCGTTCTCTCAAGGCTTTCAGGAGATGAGGGCAGGTGGTCTGCGTTCGATGTGGCAAGGAAACGCTGTCAATGTTCTGAAAGGAACACCACAGTCCACCCTGCAGTGTCTCATCTACACTCAGGTGAGCGACACTGACAGACAAGACTCACTGTACTGTGAATTATTCATGCAACAGTTTCTTGTTTCTACTCTACAAGCCCACTGACAGCGTCTCCCCTCTGTCCAGATGAAGGTGTACACCCAGAATAGAACTCAGCAGACTCTGACGGTGCAGCAGCGTTTCGGTTTGGGCTGTGTGTCCGGTGCTGTTGCTCACGCTGCCTTCTACCCTTTAGAGGTATCAGAGATCAGTGGCAGGTCTGAGTGCTTTCACATTTCTGTCCTGTCCTCTATTTTGTCATAACATTGTTAAAATATATATTATTACATATATTAAAAACCAGTGTGTCCATGATGATTATTGACACTGAGATTGATTAACTTTATCCTAAAGATCAGTCTATGGGCCACCTTTATACCTTGGATAATAACATTATTTAGATTGGATATACCTTTGGTTTAGCACAACAAACTTATTACTTCAAAAAGGTGCATTCAAAGATCTTATTGTCTTCCTTTATTCTAGTCAAATCAGAATATTAGGAAAGACTTCTACTGAAGCCCCAAGCAGACATGCAGTATTTACTCAATTTCCCGTAATAACTAAACGTTTCCAGAGGTTGTCCTCAAGGTTTTGACTTATTTATCTCCGATCATCCATCCTGTTGCGAAAGGGAAAACAGACAGGGCTTTCACTTCTGTACAAAACTCCTGAAAACTACTTGAAGTGTTCAGAGTGAGCTGCACGTGTAGACACATTTTTCATTCTGACTTTCCCTGGACCATCTCCTGCCAGCCCCATAGTACATTTTCCGCATGAAGTCAGGGTGAGCTGATTTGAGAACACAGCAGGAAAAATTCTGGAAAATTCACCATGATCGAGTGGTGAGGTTTATATACTCCAACCTGCGCATGACCTAAGAATGTATGCCAGGACCAGTACGATCTCTATGCAGGCAACCAAACAACTGCATTAGGTTTTCTGTTTGCCTGTATTTTTTTCTCCGCTCTTTTGTTGATATTGTGGACGTGTCAAACTACAGGTAGCATAAAGGTCAAACATTAGCCTCTTGAGAACATTTCAGGAGTGCATATGTGAAAACAGCTAAAGTAAATCAAATGGACGGATGCATGTTTGCTTAGGGCTTCTATAGATTTCTGCTACATCAAGAGTGTAAAAAAATAATAATATTCTTCCATTAGTATACGTTTGGAATAAAGTTCTTCCTTTTAGTTGTTATAAATGAAAAAATAAATAAAGTACCGATACTAACTTCTCTCATATTTCTGTCATATCTTCCCCACAGGTGCTGAAGGTGAGGTTGAACCTACAACAAGCTGGCACCTACAATGGTGTTGTGGCATGTGCCCGTTCTATTTACAGACATGAGTCCATGTCCTCTTTTTACAGAGGATTCAAGCCCAGCATCCTCTGCATGATCCCCTACGCAGGTGTGGAGTGTGCGGTTCATCAGGTGAGACAGAACAACAGTGAAAGATACACGACGTGTTTTTAAGAAAGATACTAACTCTAACATTTGTTCCCCATTGCAGTCCATCATGAACTGGGCGAAGAGCGATCCTGCCTACAACAGTGACTCCAAACTGTTTTTCTTCAGTTTTGTAGCCTTCGCTTCAGGACAGATGACTAGTTACCCGCTGGCAGTGATCCGGACTCAGCAGCAAGCACAAGGTAAAGCTCTGAAACATCCAAAATCATTTACTACAACTTGGGGTGTTTTACTAATCTCTATTTGTCTTGTTTTCCAGCATTCAGCTCAGATTTACATCCAGCTAAAGGAGTGTTACAAGGACTCATTGGGATATATGAAAGAAATGGAGTTAGAGGATATTATAACGGGATGGGGGCCAGCTTTGTCAGGGCTATTCCATGTGCTTTGATAAACTACACTTTAATTAGACAATTTGAAAGTCTATTTTCTTCATTTGAGTCTTGAGATGAAGTGAAGAGGTTGCTTTCTTTTTGTGTGGATCTATTTCTTTTATAACTTTTTAAGGGACTTGATCAGGAAAACTGTGAAACAAATATTTATTTGACCTGACTTTTGCAATATAACTAGAATCTTCTCAAATGGTTGAAATTGCTTGGGTAAGGTCTGTCAGACTTAAGTTATCATGTGTCTGCGACTCAACCTTTCATTTAACTGAACAGTTTTCCTCTGATCAAGAGACTGAAACAATGGTGCACCATGTGTTGAAATGTGAGATGTACAATAAAATTTTATTTAATTACGGAGTTCAGACATCTTAATTTCTGTACATTACTAAAAATGACTTTATTTGTTTGAGCTGAAAGTGACTTCTATTGCAGGAGCAAGCATTTTGTGTTTATTATTTTGTTCCTTTTTTTCTTTTTACAAGTCAATGCAAGTATTGAATTCAATTGCTGTGAAGATTTGTGCTAATCTCAGTTGATAGTAGGGCAGATAGTTTGAGGAAACTTTCCAAGTCTCTATGAAATGAAAATGTGTAGGCCTACTACTTGGAAAAAACATCAACAACACAACAACATACAAAAAAAACATAACATACCGATGAATGCTTTTCAGATGAAAACCCAAATGGTGTGTACATGTACTTTCATGTACTTTATAATTGAATTGTATATTGGGCCATGCTTGAAAAAGGAACAATGTCCAGTCCTCCTCAAAATTGACCTTTTTAATTAACACTATACAGAAAAACATTTAATGATGACGTGAATTGTTTTAGATTTCAAGTGTTAAGGACAGTCAAAGATTTTTATATAATAAATACGTATATTACAGGGCTCTGGTAGCGCAGTGGTTAGTGCACACGTCCCATGTATGGAGGCTGCAGTCCTCAACGTGGGCGGCCCGGGTTCAAATCCAACCTGTGGCTCCTGTCCTGCATGTCAATCCCCACTCTCTCCCTGATTTCTGTCTCTGTCCATTGTCCTATCTGATTAAAGGCAAAAAGCAATACATATATTACTGACAGAGGTAGTTCTACCACTTAACAACATCCAACTCACATAAATACATTTTGTTGAACGTTTTTAAAGGCTAGCCTACTACTCAAATGAACTGGAAAATAAATTGGAACAAATAATAGGATAGGACAAAATATTTGTGTGGAACACAAAAAGGGCTTTACAGGACTTTGTCTAAAATCGGGTAAACTTTTTTCATATCAGCAACTTTTCCTGTCTGGCTGTTAATTTATAAAAAGGTACAGAACCAATACAGACTAAGAAAAGACAAAGAAAACAGACAAAGAAACAAAACATGACAATACCTTACCAAATTAAAAAGAAAGGAAAAATAGCAGAGAACAATCAGAGCTCAAATCTGGAATCAAAATCTGTTTTGTCTTTGTTTATTTATAGAGCTTGTGTGGTTCCAATACATTTAAGTGTTTAATTTTTTTTATCAGCAACTGAGAGATTTAAAGTTTGGTATCATAAATAAGGCCACCGCTATCATCGCGAGACATCACTTGACCGCGAGTTTTGGCGTCAACATCCCGTGAATGAAACCCGCCATCTTGTTGCGATTCAGCAGGAGAACAGCAGCAGATATGGCTGACTACAGCAGCGTGGCTCCCCCGTCCTCTAACGCCGGTGGTGGAATGAACGACGCTTTTAAAGACGCACTTCAACGAGCACGACAGGTAGACACTTCATTTGTGCATTTAAGATTAAAAAACAGAGAAGGACAGACCAGAAGAATGTTATATTTGTACCTCTTTTTGCTGTTACAAACTGCACCACTGCAGGCTAAGCTAAGAAACCACGACCGGCTAACTTTAACAGTGAGTGTTACGCCACACGGAAAAACACCCGGATGTGTTAATAGAACCGACCGTAGCTGATTTCTTTATGATTAAATAAGACGAATATAATTCGTTTTAAAGAGTATTGTGTTGTCTTGAGTTTTCAAATCGATGTACTTAAGTGGAAGTAATCGCTTTCCTTTGTTGGTGACTTCCGGACATGAGGCCGCAGCCAGCGTGTCTTCGCCCTTTTATATAACAAACACAGACGGATGATCACTTCTTCTTCTTCTAAAAAAAAAAAAGGGGAACACAATTTGATTTGTGTTTTTGTTTTAGATTGCAGCGAAGATCGGTGGAGACGGCGTTGCGGCACCTCCATCAAGTGAATTTGGCTACGGAGGCCAGAAAAGGCCCCTGGAGGACGCTGGTGGGTATTTTCCCATGCCTAACCTGAATATCGGTCAGTGGCTCGAATCGATTCAAAGTCTTGATAATTAATGCCTGCCTGTGTGTGTACAGCTACAAAATCATACAAATGCAACAGAGTTAACTTTGACTAATATCTCTTTTTTACATTCTGTGACTTCTACTTACCATTTTAAAGTTAATTTACATTTCTTAATTTTCTCTGTACACTTAAATAAGTTGCATGAGCAAGTAACCTGGTTTACATTTTAATTGTCTTTTCACAGCTGTTTCAAATAGGTGCCTGATGATGACATGTAACACAATTTAAAAAAAATAAATAATAATTGGTAATGCCGTTTTTATTTTAAGCTTTCGATTGTGAATCTTTTTTATGCACTTCAAAACACAAAAAGGACAAAACCTTCAGGATGGCTTCATAAGAATATTTGTGTGTTGTGGTGTTCTAAGAAGTAAATTTCTTACTGTATTCAATTAAATGCTTACAAGTAGGCGTTGCATTGAGATCTCACAATATTTAAACTTGACTTGAAAACAGGTCTCGCATTGTCAGTACAAACACGCAGTGAACTTAGAAATCGTTTGTGTGGCAGCTATAGGTGAAACGGTTCACACTTGATCTGTGATCCTTTTATATCACCCCAGTGTTTCGTTCAGCAGGTGAGCTGTGGATCGATATAAAAATGTTTCATCATGGTGTAAAACAAAAATAATAACACTTAATCCCAGTCGAAAGGCTCAGTGAAGAAATCTGCCATGGAGATCTACTGCACAAATAGGATGACAATTCAGTCTTTTAAAATATAGTTTTACACACAGACGGCTCCTTGATTGTATGGATAACCCAATTTTGTGACTGGTCTCATTAGCTGAGTGCATCATCACACCCCTACTTGTAAGACATTTTCAGCTGGAAGAACGTTGCTAGTAATAATGAGCTGGCTGGAATTATGATGGATACTTATTCTGTTTATTATTTCATGTTTTTGCAGACCAACCAGAGACTAAGAAGGTGGCTACAAATGACGGTAAGGGAACTGATATACCAGAATTATTTGCGTTTAGATAATGTGCACAAACTGGTCGTGGATGAAATTATTGTTTTTGTAATATCTCATGTCTTTTTTTCCACCAGCCTTTTCGGGAATGGGAGGAATGGGCGGCCCATCAAGGTGATAAGCGAGTTAATTTAAAATATATATATATTTTTTTTAACATTTGACTGTTTGTCACAAAGCTCACATGATTTTTGTTGTTGTTTTTCAGGTCATCATCAGAGGAATTCAAAGTTCCAGATGGAATGGTTGGATTCAGTAAGTATTGTCTGATACACAAAAAACACGGCACACAATTGCTGTTCGGTATTTGGGCGTAAAATACTTTATTTTCTCGTAGTTATTGGTAGAGGAGGCGAACAAATATCACGTCTGCAGCAGGAGTCCGGATGTAAAATACAGATTGCACCAGGTACGTTGATGATTATTTCTGCTTTTGCAGATTCAACCATCCATTCATTATCTATACCGTTTTTTCACGTTCAGGGTTGCGGGGGGTTGGAGCTGATCGAAGCTGTCGCGTATTCAATCATTACCATAAAATTGTATGTGCTGTAAGGTTGTTTTTAACCACTGCTTTTTTTGTGTTGTAGACAGCGGAGGCATGCCAGATAGATCGGTTACATTAACAGGAGGACCAGAATCCATCCAGTGAGTAATCCTATTTCTATTCCGCTTCTATCTGCAGTGTCATGATCATTTGGGATGGGATTGACTTTGGCAAGCATTGAAGTTTCAATTATTTTTTTGTTTGGTCCTTCATAAATATCATGCTGTTATGTAATTTTAAAATGTTCCTCATCAGGGCTGCAAAGAGGCTACTAACAGAGATAGTAGATAAGGGGCGCCCGGCTCCTGCATTTAACCATAACGACGGCCCTGGAATGACTGTCCAGGAGATTATGGTCCCTGCTTCTAAAGCTGGGCTCGTCATTGGGAAGGGGGGAGAAACCATCAAAAGCCTCCAGGTGAGTGGCGATTTAGTGTTGGTGTTGACCAGGGCAGACATACAGCGCACACACAAACTGATATCATGCTTTGGTGCTCCTCTAATCCTGCAGGAAAGGGCTGGGGTGAAGATGGTCATGATCCAAGATGGGCCCCAAAACACAGGTGCTGACAAGCCGCTTCGAATTTCAGGAGAACCCTTCAAAGTCCAGGTGTGTGAGATACCTTTTTTATTTTCAATGAGGCCTGAGTTACCTTTCATCTCCAGTCCAGTGGAGTGGTAATGTAATGCTTTGTTCTTCCTGTTCTCTTCAGCAAGCCAAAGAGATGGTGATGGAGCTGATCAGAGATCAGGGCTTCAGGGAGCAGAGGGGAGAGTACGGTTCACGATCTGGAGGAGGAGGTGGCAGCGTTGGAGGAGGGGAAGGCTTGGATGTGTGTATTTTTTGTAACTTTGTTTGTTTTCTAGTCTTGGAGATGAGGGTTTGAATCTGTCAACTAACTGTTTTAATGTCTTCATGTAGGTACCTGTCCCCCGGTTTGCTGTAGGGATTGTGATCGGCAGGAATGGAGAGATGATCAAGAAAATTCAGAGTGACACGGGTGTTCGGATTCAGTTTAAACCAGGTAAGTCTGCTCCTCAAAATGTCAATCATGATGAAAGGCAAAGTAATTTAGGCAGTAAAAAATGTGTACGGTCCGTGATGAAAACTCATGCACCACGCTGAGAAGCTGATGTATAACCCTAACCCTAAGTTCTGAGACCTGAACACACACAAGTATATAGAAGTTTGAGTAACACAAGGAAGTTGTAGTCGCAAAATATATACAATCAAGTCAGGTCATTTTCTGTTTCTAAGGAAAAAAACTAAAGTCTCTTATTTTCCCTTCAAGATGATGGCAGCACTCCTGACAGGATAGCCCAGATCATGGGCCCACCTGACCAAGCTCAGCATGCTGCAGAGATAATATCTGACCTGCTGAGGAGCGTCCAGGCCGGCGGTCCTCCAGGACATGGCGGTGGCAGGGGCCGTGGTCGTGGGCAGGGAAACTGGAACATGGGACCCCCTGGTGGCCTGCAGGAGTTTACCTTCACCGTCCCAACCATGAAGACAGGCCTCATCATTGGGAAAGGTATGTGTTGGGAAACAATGGCAATTAACTTTTACAATATTCCATGTCTCTAAGATCTTAAGAAGACTATTGTTTTGTCTTTGAAGCTGGTGAAATGATAAGAGGTGAAAGGCGAAGTACAATGTTGTTTATATCGTGTGTTAACATGTTTCTCGACTTTACAGGTGGTGAGACAATCAAGGGCATCAGCCAGCAGTCTGGAGCCAGAATCGAGCTTCAGAGAAATCCTCCACCCAACGCTGATCCCAACATTAAGATGTTCACAGTCCGGGGCTCCCCTCAACAGATCGACTATGCCAGGCAGCTGGTAGAGGAGAAAATCGGGGTGTGTAGCTAACATTTGTATTTGTTAAATGTGTATATTTTTTTATACAAGTGCAGATGCTCCTCTTATAAACTTTGTTGACTGACCAGAACTTGTTTCATTTAAAGGGACCAGTCACTCCAATGGGTGGACCACATGGTCCCCCTGGTCCACATGGAGGTCCAGGCCCACATGGTCCCCCTGGGCCACCTGGACCCCCAGGTGCTCCCATGGGCCCATACAACCCTGGACCATACAACCAGGGACCTCCAGGACCACAGTACGTACCTTGGCCTTTGTTCAAACTTAATCTATAAAGCCCTTTGTTGAAGCACCTGGTCATCTTCAGGTGTAAAAAAGTGCTGAATACAGTTTCCTCAAAAACACCCCAAGATGTCCCAAAAATGATAAAATGTTTCTTTAGACACTGGCAATAATTATAACCAGCAAAGTTTTCTTTATATCTGATGCAGGCAGTCAATCCTTGTATTTCATGCTGCTTATGCACAGTTCAATCTATCTATGAAAATGACTACAAATCATTTTTAGGTAATTTAGGCACCCTTAAAAATGTGAACGGTCCGTGATGAAAACTCATGCACCACGCTGAGAAGCTGATGTATAACCCTAACCCTAAGTTCTGAGACCTGAACACACACGTAGAAGTGTATATATATAGACTGGCAAAAATTATAACCAGCAATGTTTTTGTATCTGATTGCAGGCTGTCTATACTATTTCATGCGAATAAAGCATGAGTCAACAGTGAAGTTGTGAAATAATGACAATTATTTTCTTTCATCAGCGGTCCACCTGCGCCTTATCAGCCTCAGGGATGGGGCAATGGCTACCCACACTGGCAACAGGGACAACCTGATCCAAGTGAGTGCCTTTAATGTTTTGATACATTTGTACACTTGATGTCCGGCAAATCAAAAAGCTTCATGATTCCCCTCATACACTATAGTAAGATGGACTGAGCAAAAGCCAATTGATAATGATTTGGCTGAGGGGAGCTGTCTATTAGTATATAGTCTATGAATGAGAAAGTCCACTGTGAACGGTCTGTGATGAAAACTCATGCACCACGCTGAGATGCTGATGTATAACCCTAACCCTAAGTTCTGAGACCTGAACACACAAAGAAGTTGAAGTAACACAAGGAAGTTGTCGCTAAATATATACAATCAAGTCAGGAATTAGACAATGTTACATTTGTTGTTTAAAAACACATACATTTTGTGAATAATGGGTATATTATGGCTTCTTATTCTTCTTATATTATTAAGTGAACCCATAATGGTATATTAAAAGCTTTTATTTTGGCCTTTGTAAATAAACAAAAAATGTTTGTGTCCAGATAAAGCAGCTGCTGATGCCAACGCAGCAGCGTGGGCAGCCTACTATGCTCAGTACAGCCAACAGCCTCAGGCTCCCATGACCCCAACAAGTGGAGCTCCCGGCACTACTCAAAGCAACGGCCAAGGTAACTGACGTGTTTCTCTCCGTATTAGCATTAGTAGTGTCTGTTTATTGAAGAAACAGAACCAGAAAAGCATAGAGCAGTGTAGTTAACTAGCTCAAGTTGTGTCCTGTGCTCATGTCTTCCTGCTGTCACTTACAGGAGACAAGTTGGTTTGGTTTAACCCTTAAAATGTAAAATAAACCTTCTTTTTTTGAACCTTTTTTATATAACCCCAAGGGACAGGATAGTTTCCCTCCACTATCCCTAGGCTGACAGCTCAACCCAGACAGGTGGAGGACAAAAAGCTGAGAATGCTTCACTAATTACAAGTACCGTTCTTTTTAACAGGTGACCCACAGGCTGCAGGTCAGAGTGGACAGGCAGATTACTCCAAGGCCTGGGAGGAATATTACAAGAAAATGGGTATACGAACATAGTTTCAGTGTACACCTATTAACACAGACAGTCTAAACAGCCGCTGGGTGTTCAGTCAGCTTCTTTTTCAGGTCTGGGTTTTTGCTGGCCTGCTGTGGAGCCTTTTCTCTGTCTCCACTTGCTTTAACAATTCACCCTTGTGCTGTTTAGACTGAACCACTTTGACAATCTACAGGACTGAGCTGTCGACACAGAGCCAAGTTTATTGAGTTTAGAGTAGCTTATTTTTTCAGATTATTTAACGGCATTATCAACACTGATGGATGTGCCATGAATGGTTTACTGCCACTAAATGTGTGTAGAGCTAAATGATGCAATTTAGGATCAATGTTGTGAATGTGTGTCTGGTTTCGTTGGACACTTGGATGTATTGACACATTTTCTCTTTTCTCTGCAGGTCAACAGAGTCAACAACCTCAGGACTACACAAAAGCCTGGGAGGAGTATTACAAAAAACAAGGTTGGTTATACATGATAATTTATGTTCCATGAGTGCATGTCATCTAGATGTTGTAGAGTAAGACTTGAACTACTGGAAGCAGGATGCAGTAGAACTGGTTTCAGACTGTTTACTGTGAAATGAATAGTCACAAACACATCATCTATATGGAGATGTTAATAGTCATGGTAATTTGGAGGTAAAGAACCAAAACCACCATTTATTGTCTTGAATGGCTTTTAATGCTGCATTGTTTTTGTTTTTAAACCTTTTTGTAGACTTGCCTTTCTGAAAATGAACCATATCCTTTACATGTGTATTTTACAGCATCAATGAGCCAATCTGTTAGTTTGCAGTGACTGTTTTTAAATGTTAAAGGGCGGCTGTGTTCTCTAGTGGCCCTCTGTAGTAGAGTGGCTGCTCTCACAGCTGCCCGAGAATAAAGCAGAAGGTTTCTGTCCCCCCACCTTGAGAAACTGGTGGTGGGTTCGTTCCCCTTCCAATAAACGATCACATTTAAAAGAACAAAGACTTGAAGTGTTTTGAAGTGATTGGGTGTGAGCTAGCCGATCATCTGTGATCTAAAATCTAAGTTTTTGTTTTAAGAATTTTGTAAGGAAAACTGTTTACAGTTTTTCCATAAGAATCAAGTGAACCTAATGAAACTTGCCAGTGAACTGACCTGTTCGGTTTTCTCCCCCAGGTCAAGCTGCCCCTCAGCCCGCAGCGGCAGCAGCAGCAGCGGCCTCTCAGCCTGGAGGCCAACCAGACTACAGCGCTGCCTGGGCAGAGTACTACCGTCAACAGGCTGCTTACTACGGCACATCCAACCCTCAGGGGATGGGTGCTGCCCCACAAGCCCCTCAGGTACACCCCCATTAAGAATCTGCCCTCTGCATCAAGTGAATACTCAATTTTTTTGTCGTGCAGTAACCCCCCTTCCTTCCTCAGGTTTTACAGGAGCTCCAGTGATGGCAGCAGCTTCACACACTTAACCAAAACCATTTCCTCCTTACACAGGCTTTTAACTTTTTATTTTGGGAAGCTGAGTCTACTGTTTCTGCTGTTAACATGCAATGTATCTTCTATGTATTTTTTTGCACAGGGCCAGTAATGTGAAGTGGACATAAAGTAAATGCTACATTGTCGAAACAAAATCCTTTGTTAAATGTTTGGATGCAGACGCCTTGATGAAGATCTAAAATTTCCTTGGTTTGAAAAGTGTTTCACATAGATGGCAGATACCCGGCGAACACGTCCTCCTTCATTTTCTTTTTTTGTTTTTCTGTTTCTTGTAAATGCTTTGTTTTTAGTGAGGTAATTATACATATGGTCATTCCAGCCCTGTATCTACATAAAATGTGGTTAGAACTCATGTTTATTAAACTGTAGACATTACCATGTAAATCATCTCAGTTTTAAAATGCTATTTGCCTGTTGTGTTTTTGCAATAAAACAAACTGAAACCTCCTGTGTTGGTAAGTTGGGGTGGTTTTAAAACCAAAAGGGTGGAGATAAATTCTGTATGTTTTTATTTTACCGGGAGGGGGGAAAAGTTTGAAATGAAGGCCATGTGTGGGTTTTAATGCTCGAAAAGGTTGTTCTGTCCTGTCTCTCTCCAACTGTCTATAAGGCTTTTTTTAGATACATTATGTCCGTGCAGTGATCCTGAGTGGTTCAGATCAACAAACGTCCTTGTTAATAGACTATTTTTTACACTTCTCTATCCTGACCTTGCTCTGATTTAGCGGTAGACAGATGTTTGTCATTAGAAAGTCGACAGGTGTCTTTGTATCGTATCTCATGCATTAACTGCGTTGCTGTGGCCCTCTTAAACATTTGTGCTTGGTTTGCTGACATTGTTGAGGTAGTATGCACTGTATTTTGCCTTGATAGACACTTCCTCCTCCACAGGCAAGTTTAGAAAAGCGGTAAGCACATTATTTTCTTGACATGTTCCTCAGAAAAACGTGGTTGCAAGAAATGTTTTTAGTGTTATACATATTTTTTTGTTGCTATTCTTTTTCCAGGACAGTTGGGTCAATTTGTCACTGTATGGAAAATGCATTTAAAGTTTGTCATGCCCTTTTTTCAAATTGCGAACTAACATGTATGAAAATGTTTTTTTAAAAGAATGTTTTTTTAATATAAAAACATTGCTGCAAAAAGTCGTTTTTGCTGTGCCCATTCTGTTAGTGTTTATCCAGTTTAAGAACGTAGATGATGTAGGGTCGGGGGTGGCTAAGCAGTCTTCGTCCATCAGTTGAGCCCTCCTATACTGTAAGTACAAAACTGTGACTGACTTAAGAGAGATATTCGCCTTTTTTGATGCATTTGAAACTGCAAATCGTGTAGTATTTTTGTCAATTATTGCAAATATCTTCCCTTTGTCTCTGGGTAAGTATGAAATGTTCTGAGGAGAGGAATAGTACTTTATCTTTACCACATGTTTCTGAGACTGATTTCCCCTTGTGTGACTGCACATCATTCAGACTTTGAATCTCAAGTATTTTGATGCTTTAGTAGATTCTCATAGTGTTTGTGTAGGTAGCATTTCAGTGCCAGACAGATTTCTGAAGTGATGGTTTTGAATGTCAGCATTCTGTTACAATGTTGGTAGGAACTGTTTTTTTAAAGGACACCCATGTGGTTTTTTGCGTTCTTGAACATCTGATCTGATAAGTGCCATTGTCTAGCTGAGACTGTTTTTTAAATGCCATTTATTGCTGAAAGTTCTCTTGCATTCATCTCCAGTGTAGCATGCTTAGGTTTCTGCTATCATTACTTTACTCTCCATTATTTGAGCATGTTGAATGCTAGTAGTTGAAGTGCTTCTGACTAGCTCAGTATGATGACATTTTCAGTATGAGGCTGTTAATTGAAAGATCAAAAGCAAAAAAAAAAAAATCTTTGACTGCATTGTTCACTGATGGCAAACAGTGCGATTATATATCTGATCTTTGCAGTGTCGTCCCAGACCTTGCACCTTAGGTTCTGCTGCAATTACACAGGTAAGCGAAGCCTAAGGCAACAAGTGTTTTGTCCAGTGACATGACCAATGTTAAATGCAAAGAAATGCTTACCTGTGTCTCTTATATGCTCTTTATGCATTTATGCCAAAAGTAACTGTTCCGATTATCCAAGTTTCCCTTTAAAGCTGATCTTATTTCTTGAATGAACTGCATGTTTTGACTTGTACTATGACGTTAAAAGAAAAAAAATCCTTTACCAAGATTAATACTTGCTTAGGCTCTCTAAGGAAATGTCTATCGTTGTATCTTATGATTTCATATTAGCCTTTATATTTGCATCCTGGTAAGTCCTGAAAGTGACTGGTTTACTAAAAACTGCATGCCATGTCAGAAGTCGGTAATGTGCTGAACTCGTTAGGTCAAAGAGACGTTGAAATACATGATTTGTGTCTCTGTCGTGGTGTGAATCTGCCCTCAAAGTGCAGTGCATATCTCCTATTGAAACGCTGCTGCCTTCACTTCTTGCTCACAGTGTTGGAGGATGATGCTGCAAGCTTAGGTCATAGAATCAGGCCCTGTCGTAGTTTGTCCCCAAAGGGAGGAATCCTTTGAGTCAATCCCACTGCTGAACGTAGACCGTTCAAGAGCTCCAGTGATAAGGTAAAAACAAAACAAAAAGCAACGCAATGAAATTTAAATTCTGTGATTTGCAAAGTGTTGGTCAGATACATGTTTTTCCCTGCTCGGATCGACTGTTTTAAACATGATGCCATAGTTTGTTTAGAGTTGTCAGATGGCTGTTTCTTAAAACTTGCTTGAATGCCTTCATTAACTTTTTAGTCAGTAGGAATGTTCTTTAGAAAGTTGGATGAGGACAGGAACTGATGTACTTTTCAATTACATATGCACTTTTATTGGCAGTAAATTTTGGGGGTTTTCAGTTTAAAATCACTTTTCTGTAGTTAAGGGTCACATAGTGTTTGGTTGGGGCTGTTCACTGTTCATAAGGGTGTAGGACAAAACAAGGAGCATGCCTTAGAGGTTAAAAGTTTTCATGTGCTGTGTATATTCTCCAATATATTGTTTTTTTTGTTTGTTTTATGAATCAGCTGTTCTGACTTTTAAAATGTTGCCATGTTCATTAATAAAGTTGTATCAAATAAAGTGACTTGTTTGTGTTTGATTTTACATTTAGGAAACTAAGGATCAATCGGATTCTATTAGCAGTAAACATTTTCCCAGCAGAAATAAACATTACTGAAATCCTCCTGTAATCGTTCCTCCTTTTGATATTGGGATTATTTAAAAAATGTAGATGTGTTAACCATTTAGTTAATGAAATGTCTTTCAACAAATTAAATTGACGTCCTCTTCAGATACAATGTGAAAATAATTTAGGTCTCTTAACTCATAATTTCCAGTTGTTAAATGTTAACTTGAGAGACAGAACAGATACTTTTAGTCCGGACTGCTGTAGCCTCCTTTTCAGTCAGCTGCAACAAAGAAATGGTAAATACCTTTAGCAGTTTTTTAAGTTTAAATTTCTAACACATTTCCTCTCAAACTCACCTGAATATATAAGTTGCATTCACCCAAGTAGCTCTTGACAGACTTTTCACCATTTTCTGACATTGTAGTCATGATTTTATGTCCCTTATAGTACAATGTATTCATTCCCACCTCCCCATGAATCGAATTTAAAAAAGACTAGTTTTTAAAATAAAACTGGGGGCAGAGTCTTTAGGGAACTGGAAGGTAGCCGTTTCAAGTCCGTTGTAATAGTGCATATGTATAAACTTTGATTTCCTGTCGCCGATGCCATGCTAGATTTAAGTCCCTGTAGGCGGCTGGTTCTCGCTTCATTTAAATATTACATAGAGCCTTGTAAATTCCAAAATAACGACTTTCCCTTTTATTCATCTTCAATATAATTACCCATTTCTGACACAGCACATTTTACATCACGTTTGCTTGTTACAAAAACACAGTAGTACATTTTATGGTTTTGCATTGCTGATGCGGAGCAGTAAGTGAAAATACAGACAATAAATTTCATCTGATAAATTCTATAATACAACATTGTGTTTTTTTTAATACTGCATGTTTGAAGCTGATCACAAATTCACTGATGCGTACAAATAAAACTACAGCTTCTAAAATAAAACGTGTCATTTAGCTCTATAGCAAAAATAAATAATATAAAATACCATCTTTCTGTTCACACATTTTAGCAGCAAGAAATATGCCTTCACTTTACACCGTGTAACATCTAACACAGAGTTGAATTACACATGTTATTGCTAAGATATTTAGCTTGCGCTGCGATGGCACAGTGAGTGACAGGATGATCAAATGTGAAGGCAGACAGCTGGTACAGTTTTACATAGATCCTTGTTAGAGCACAAAGCATGATGGGAGATGTGTGAAGTGGAATTCAGACCTTGGAGAAATAATGTTTTATGTGACAGTTTATCATTTCCAGTTAAGTGGGTGGATAAGTCAACTCTGATCTTTGCTTCAACAATTGTTGAGAACTCCACCTACAAAATAAGATCCATGTATGCAGTGTTCGGGTCGGTTTCTCACTGAACCTTTGCCTCCAGCAGCGCACTGTTAGGTACCAGCTGCACCTGTGTTGAACTACAGCCGTTGATGTGCCGTAGGGAGTCGGCGCCCAGGTAGGCCAGCAGCAGCTCAGAGCGCCGGTGCAGCAGGTGGAGCATGTCCTCTGCTAGAGTCTCCACGGAGGTGTAACGCACTTTATCCACATCGAAAATGTCCTTTAGGAAGCACAGCACCTGATCCTGAAAGAAACCAACTGTGAGTCGACATCTTTACAGGAGGAGAAAAAAACTCAAACTTTACAGGCACTTTAAATACACAAGACAATGGACTTTGGTGTTGAGTTTCTTCAGACTTAATACATTAAACCTTTTATTTTTTTGACTCAGATATGCCTGTATATTCCAGACAATATAAACTCCTCAAAAAAAAGTTTGGAAACATTATTTCTGTCACTTATTTCGCCCCTTTAATAAAACTAATTGGTGTTGTATTATATATCGTTGGAAACCTGGATAAGTCACCTTTACAACGAGGTAATACAACACCAATAAATATTATTAAAGGGTTGAAATAATTGACCAAAATAACATTTCCAAATTTTATTTTGAGGAGTTTATATTATGACTATATTTTATTTACAAATCTTAAGATCAAGCCTAATTGTACTATTTTTAAGCAAGTTTTTTCCCATCTTATTATTACTGATCATTATTCTATTCGATTCTATTTTTACCTTCATTCTATGGATGCGATGTGATTTTCTTGATTTAAAGCACTGAGTCCTAAAAACAGGCGCTTTACAAATAACAGCATTACTATGAACCTGATGGAGGTCAGGACATTGAGTTTGATTTTTGTGTTAAAAGGTGAAACGGATAAAAGTTAGATTTCTTCAAAATATTGTGCAGTTTCAGACTTTTATCTAGAGTCGACTCTACAGTTAACTGTGTCATATAGATGAAGAATCTGACGCAGTTAGGATGTCAGATCATTATTGTGCTATTCTGTGTTGCTGAGGCTGACCTTGAAGAAGCAGCAGAGGTCGTGCAGGGAGCTCTTTGGCCCCAGGAAGCCCCAGGCCAGGACGGGACTGATCTGTTCACACACAGCGTAGAAATGAGCGATGAAGCCATCAGGCACCTGAGACACAGAAGAAGTGAATAAGGTGATGGGACGCTATTATCAGCTGTTTTTACAGTTCCAGAGCTGCTATCTGATCTTCTGTGTTTTATATAAAATGTAGAATATATTGTCTCATGGCTGTCAAACTGCTGATAGTGAGTGCATCAAACATCAAACAACATCAAGCAGATAGTATTTAAAGTGTTAGATAAAGCAGTGTCAGCATTTATCTGATATCTAACATGAAGCTGCTGGACATGTACCTTCATGTGCTGTCTCTTCTGCTTCATCACTGACCAACAACTTGATGCCACAGCCTGTGAAGTTCAAGCAGATCATTCATCAGTTTCATTCTCAAAGAGGTTAAAGTTAAATAAAATAATTTAAAGGGATTTAAAAAGAGAAAAGATTAAAAAGAATCTAAAAAAAACCCGTTTCACATTGTCTGAAAACTCTTGAAAACTTTAAGAAAAGTTCAGGTGGGCTGCCACCTTAAAGTTTCCTGGCTTGCTTGTTCACACATGCACCTCACAGCAGGAGACTGTCTCTGTCGGACAAGAAGGGGGGCGTGGCATCTTCTTGAGAGAGACATGATGTGAAAAGAACAACGGAAAAGTGGCAGGCGAAGCAACAGTGTGCTATAACGCAGTCGACACCCCCTCCCACTATGTATCCTGCTCCCTCTGACTTTCTGCAGAAAAGAAATACTGAGGGGCTGGACGGGGATTATCCAGATAAAGTCAGAGTGAAAATTGCCAGTTTGCATTTAACATTCAGCTCACTCTGAAAACTTCAAGAGGAACTTTAGGAGTTTTGTGCAAGTGTGAACAACACTATTTATAAACATTCTTGTCTGGAAGTTTACTAGTGTTGTGCGTCTTCTTGTTTACAATTTTCCTTTGAGATATTTTGAGTACAATTTCAATACAGCCAGTTGTTGTTATTTAATATCAGTTGGATATTGATATAAAGTTATATTTTGGGAGACTAAAAAATGTTGGACCAGGAAAAATCTCCCCATTGTGTTGCTGTTTCTGGCTTTCTTCTTAAAACATTGACATTATTCCTACCTAGAATTGACTAATATTCATCTGTCATGGATCCACTGACTGCCGAAAGAAACTCTGAGATCTAAATCTGTTCTGTACTCCTCACCGTTTCCTTGAAGGAGCTGTTGAGCCAGCGGTTGTTGATCACGTTCTGGATGGAGATGGGTGGATTCTCCAGGTCCTCAAACGAGTCCATCAGGATGAAGTCCAGGACTATGTCATAGAAGTTCAAGTGCTTCACCTGAGACGATGAAGATAAGAGGTTCTTATTTCAGAATTTGTTTTTCTTGAGGGTCAGACAGCAGAAGTCAGCCACATTATATAGAGGAGAAGACTCTCACCCCTCGTGTGGCCAGTTCCACCTCTGTGTTTTCCCAGTGCTCCGTGTGCTCCAGGAAGGCAATCATCTCCTCAAACACATCCTCGAATCTCTGTGGGCTCTAAAAACCAGACAGTTAATGTGAGCGGGTAAAGCTTCTCCTGAAGATGTATCATCTGTATTATTACTCTGTAGATCCAAAGTTACCTTCTGTGCTTTTACAATAATGGAGGACAGGATTTTCTTTCCAGTGTCTGCCAGAAACATCCTGGTCTTTCTCTCACATGAAATGAGCTGGAGGAAAAAAAAGAGAGATCGAAGTTGACTGAAGTTGATCATTTTTCCTTCTGAAAGTAGAGGGCAAAAAAATAAAAACGTTGAAATATCTTAACACTGTGGTTCTTCCTTGGATGGTTAATTGGTTTTAAATGTGCTTCTGATGCACTTTAGTCAATTTAACTCATTCCTGTTTTCTTTCTGCAGCGTTTTGATCTAAGTCAAAATAGTAGTACATCATACTTAAATAATACAAACTAGCAGATCTTTGAGGCTGATGCTGTGTAATAACTTTGATGCTATCTCTTGGAGCCATGGATGAGTTTAAGTATCTTTGAAGTATTTTTAAGGTTAAAGGAAGAATGGGCGACTTTTTGATCTAGTTGATGTCACCTCTGAGCACCAGCATTAAACCAAAACAAACTGCTGTTTGGCGACACTTCCACCATTCTGAAGCCTCCGCTCTCCTCCAGCGGCCTGCGTTGTTGTGTTAGCAGGCTAATGTTAGCACACTGGTTAACTCAGCTTCATATTGCACATAAATTGAAATGGAATGACCGTGATCTAAAGACACTTAGGCGACATTAATATTCTTCAGTGGAAGAGAGAGGGTTAGGGTGAGCTGGGTCACTGTATTTTTTGTCTACCGTTATTGTTTTTGGCTCACATTTGTTAATATAAAGTCAAACTTATTTTTCATATTGCAGTGATTTTTTTTTGGAAGCGCATCAGACAACGTAATAGATCCATCCTCAGCCTCTCAGCTTGTTGTCCCTGAAAGTCGCTACGCTATCTTCTGGTGTAATAAATCCTACTTTGAGGTCTCCTCCAAGTCTGCTATATACAGTATATATATATGTAATTGAATTCATTAGGTTTACTGTACCTGACTTGCCTGCCGCACACAGTGCAACTTGGCCAGAAAATCTAAATCTCCAACACACTCGAGCAGCTCAGTCCTGACGATGCAAATCAAGAAAAACACCAGATTCATAATTTAGCAGACACATGTATCAAATAGAAAATGTTACAACTCTTCCAGCATGTTCCAAGAATCCAGATGAATCATATGTATTCAAATTCATCAGTGTAATTACCGCAGAACCCTGCAGGAGATCTTTCCATCCTCAGCCATCTGCAGCGCCTCGTCGTAGAAAGGATGATGACCGAGAGCGAGGACATTCCTCAGGTCTCTGTGCTCCGACAGCTGATACAGAGAGAGCCAGCAGAGGTTACGGGTTTATTGCCAATTGTTTAGATATTTTATAGACAGAACAAACATGTATTGAAATGATAATAATCAGATGAGTCAAATTGTCCTCTCCCAGTCCAAGACAAGCACCTGACCCCCCCAAAAAGGAAAAAGGGTAGAATCCTAATATCATTGTACTTTTTGTAAATCTGTTTTAAACATGACAAACTGTTTAAGACTATGAAAAAAAAGTCCATCTTAATCCTAATCAAGGTGCTTACTTGGTCGAAAAGGCTGAACCCTTAATGAAACTCAGTCTGGTTGGTTGGTGTGTGGGTGTGAATGGGGGGGTTAAATGTTTTAAAATTACGGGAAAAAAATGGACACACTTTTGTAATGCGTATATTGTGCTGATCTCAACAATAAATAAATAAGTGACAAAAAGAGGGCTGAACCTGAACTTTCTTGTTCCTGCTAGAAAAGCTACAGGTTCCACATGTCCTGGATTAGAGAGTTTGTTCTGAAGTCAGTTCTGACAGCGAGCTGTAGGTTGTAAACTGAGAGATGTAGCTCTATTTATAGTTACTCACTAAATATGAGTGACCCAGTCTCACTGCTGCGAGCTCTTCATTTACTGCTCTGTTAATGTTAGACTGGTTTTACGGGTATGAAGACTGTAATGTAAAGCCTTAATTATGCACCTACATTCATTAAAAGACATGTATCACTGTTTTTTAACCAGAGCCTGGTGAGATATATGTGTGTCCTCAACCTGTACATTTGACTTTCAGTTTCAAGGAACAAGTAAACAAATCAGTCATTCTTAACAGCATGTTTATTTCTGTACTTTGTGGTCAAGTTCACCAGTAACATCAGACACACAGCTCGAGCCCCCACAGGGACCTAACAAGATAAGTTGTATGCTAGTAAACAGCCGGTGGTAAAACCTAAAACCTACGAGAGGATCAAAGCTAACTGAATTAAACTCCTGCTGTGAACTGTTTGTCCCATTTGACGCCTCAGACGCCTTGAAATGAGCCTTAGATGTCCTTTGAGCCCCCCTTATTTGTATCTATATGAAAAGCTGAGACCCCCCAGTACCCACACGAGATTATTGATACGTTGCTGTAAGGAAATTAATATCAATTGTTTTCATTAGTAAAATCCCAACAGACAACTTACAACACCTTTTTATAAACTGTTGAGTAAGTCTGTTGTCATATGTTTACTTAACGTGTGCAAATCTCGTTTTTAAAATCACAAAGCAGACTAAGACTTGCACCCCCCCCCCCCCCTTAAGGGGGCTCAGACCCTAGGTTAAGCACCAATGCTCTAGTCTTCACCATTCAACCAAACTCAATTTAAAAAGCTATTTTAAAAAGTTTTAATTTGCTTAGAATTACAGTTTAAAAAGGTAAATATCAAACAATTTTTATTTGCACATTTGTTTTGTTTTTCACATTTTTATACAAGATTGATTAACGATAAGAAATGACATTAATTGTAATAAAAATAGGCCTTTATTAATTATTTTAATTCAAGAAAAATGCACTGCATTGTAATATGGGGTTTAAAATGATGAGGATTTATCAGGATATTGGTTTTGAATCATAAAGATCTGTTGTGTCACCTCAGCAGCAGACACAAATGAGTCAGTGGAGGCGATGCTCATGCTGTCTTTCAAACAGGCGTCATCCAACTCCTCTCTGGCCAAAATGTCCACCATTCTGTCTGTGATGGGAAATAATCATCGTAATGTGTTGATTATTAATACAGCACTGATCAGCTGTATACATCATTAGCTTTATCCTGTGTTGGTCCTGTATGTTGTGTAATCCTTTATGAGTGACTCACCCTGGCTGTTGCTGTGGGAAGAAGGCTCTGACGTGCACAACACTCCCTCAAACTCCTCCTGAAGGCTGTAGGCCCGCTGCAGCAGAGACTTCAGCCTGTGGATGAACTCTGTACTGATGACGTCCTGAAGGCACAAACATTCAAGTTCAACCATTTAAACAATGCCTAAAAAACAGCAACTCAACTGTGTGTATTAAGATTCCTCAAGGCTTTTCATTCCCTTATTGAGAGGATGGTACAGCGTAGAGTCAGAAACAGGGATAAGAGGGGGGGGAAGACATGCGGTAAATTAACATTGAACATCCGTGAAACAGACTAAATATAGACTAGATTCTGTCTGTGTGACACTTCCCACGACAACCGACAAAAGTGTACTGTGTTAATGATTGCAGTCTTAACTGCAGGTTAGACAGGCTGGCATTGTGTGTGGCAGAAGAAGCTGACCTGGCCCAGAATGAAACCACGCTCATTCTATGAGCACAAACCCTGAGCACCATTACTCAATTATTAAAGCACAGGAGGTAAAATACTGTTTTGTCGATTTACTTCAAACTATTTCACTTCAGCTTCTTCTTCTGCAGGGATCACAGTTTAAATACGCTTTCTAAAAAGGTGGAAAACTGAGCGGGGGAATATCCTTCACAGAAGACTGAGCAGCAGATTTAATCATTTGACCTGGACTAATCCAAAATCCTCCCATCCAGGAGGTTAGAGAGCCAGTGAGTTATCTGTTATACAATACAGACTCTGTGACACTGGTGGGATGTCAGAGAGCTGGTTATTCATATATGTGGCACATAGTGCTGTGTTGTGGCCAGTAAATGCTTCTCTATCATCTTCTTTTATAAAAGAGAGACAATAGTTTAATTATTAATGCTGGTAAAACCCTGCATAAACCTTTTATAAACTGTCCCGAGGGATCTGATAGAAAAGGATCTACAAGCCTCATCCTACTTAACTCCTATCCCCAGATTAAAAGTGGCATTACACTGAATTAAATGTGTTGTTGAGTTGGTGTTAAATATGGCAGCGTGCTGACGTGTCCTCATTGGAATGATCTCTGAAGTTTTAAGTGTGTTTCTGTGTCTTCATCACCTCCATGCCCTGCTCAGCAATGGCGTCTCCAGCTCCTGTTTTGACAGAAACACAGCTGGCATCGTCTTCTCCCTGCTTGCTCCTAAATGTCAACGCTTCCTCCCACCGTCTTAGAGCCTCCTCAAATAAATCCATACCTGCAGGCACAAAAAAAACAACAACAACAAAAAAAAAAACACAACCCAAACAATCAATAAAAAGCTCAATTTCAGACAGAAGCAACTTTACAAAAACTGGTTATTACAAGACTTTGTAAGATGATTACAGCCCTCAACACTTCCACTCGTTATCACATAGTGAAGGAGGAAGTTTCTTTACCCATGAGGTACAGGTTTTCAGGCGTGGTGACAGGTATGTTGACGAATCCGCAGATATCAGCTTCTCCTGCTCTGTCCCAAAAGGTGGATTCATTAGCGCAGGTGCTGCTGCTGGATGAGTTCATGCTTTTAACCTGTAGAAGAAGAACACCGTTTTACTTTCAAACAGGGGGAGGCAGCAACACAAGAAACTAAATGCAGGCAAACTCTGACTCAAAGGAAGAAGAATTTTTTAACATGTCTTACAGAGGCCAGGCTCAGTAGAGACCCGGACAGTTTCCTGTAGTCTCCTGTAGGGAGGAGCAGACCAGAGGAGAGGCCATTCTTGGAGTTGAGGGAGAGAGTGATGTTTTGGCTGGTGTTATCTGGGTAGATAAATACCAGAGTTCAGAGATCATGTTTGATAGGGGGATCAGAATGCAGTGATCACGCTACATGAGCATGTAACAGGATAACATGGTGGATAAACCACAGCTTCATATCTGATGGCTGAAAAGAAGACAAAGAGTCACTTATTGTGGAAATCAGTGACTCTATCAAGCAATAAGTGACAGATTTTCTTTGTTCCTTTTTCAGAGTTATTAATGTCTGTCAAGACCTAAAGACAATTTCAACCAAAAATCTTTAAAAAAGTGTATCTGGAGGAAATTACCAACCCTGCCTTTAATTATGGTCAAGTTTCATCACACATTTTAATTTGATTTTTTTCAATTGCTGTCCATTTCATTTGGATATTACACTGGGTTATATTGCATTATGCTGAATCATGCAGCTATAAAGTAGTTCATCATTTTCCATATTATTGTTAAACATTCTCAAAATGTTGACAGCTCTATCAAAAGGACAATGTTTGAAATGAATGAAGTTACACTGTTTATGAAAACATTGAATTACTCCGTCCAATGGTTTATTCGATTGTATTTCATTTCTCTTTGACTCTCAGATAATTCTTCCTAAGGGAGCTTAAATGAGTTAAAAGTATTTAACTGGAGCAGCCTAAACACCTGATTAGATCACAAAAAAGCAACTGGGGCAAACATACTACACAACATGGAAGTCGGGGAGCTGCTGGTTGAAGGGGGGAAACGTGTAAAGTTTTACCGTTCCCTGCTGAGGCAGGCGGGAGGAACTCAAATCCTGCCTGCTCCCACTGTGGAGACTGGGCCTTTTTTCTTCCCTTCCTCCTCTGGAAGCGCCGTGCGAGGAAGAGGAGCGAGATTGCGCTGAAGGCAGAAGCTGCCACCAGCTTCTTGGTCCCTGTGCTTATACTCACCTGGAAGACAGGTTCAGGAGAAGGAGTTACATTTAAGGGTTATATGCAGTAGATCGATCTCTTCTGTCTTTGGTTAGTCAGAACAAAATATCTGACCAATTCAACATCTGAACAGTGGCACCCTGTTTTGATTAGCAGCATTATTAACTATCTTACCGTTCTGTCAAAAAGCCCTGAAGGAAAACAACCCTCAGTTCTTAGCTCTGTGTTCTTACTCATCTCTCTCCTAATCACTTTTCTGTTTCTCTAATTAAGATTATTTTACAATAAAGGTAAAATGACCACAAATTATTTTAAAAAGTAAACAAATAAAACATTATTTTGCTTTAAAATATATTTAACTCAATACTACATAAAAGGCTTTCAAGCATTGTGAGATGTTTTCAGAAAATAAAACATTATAAAGTTGTTAAGTGTTAAAATTATTGACAGCAGGGGGCGCCGGTAGCCTAGTGGTTAGTGCGCGCGCCCCATGTACAGAGGCTATGGTCCGCCAAGCGGGCGGCCTGCGTTGGAATCTGACCTGTGGTTCCTTACCCTCATGTCATTCCACTCTCTCTCTCTCGTCCTGATTACTGATTCTATCCACTGTCCTATCGCTCTAATAAAAGGCATCAAAAGTCCCAAAATAAACCTTTTAAAAATGATTGAAAGCAGATAAAACATTTACAAAAAGCATTACAGAAACAAACATTGCAGTTTAATACTGAGGAATAGCGCTCGTCAGAGATCAAATATGTGAGCAGCTGAGACTTCATGTCCCCAAAAACAGAAAATCTATCCCGAATTTCATTTTTGAATTTCATGCTTCCCCTGAGGATTCATACATCAAATCACAATGGATACTGATGATGTAACAAACTGCACTGAGAATCAGCTTCCAGCCTGTTTAGATTTTAAAGGAATCTATTTGAGATAGCGTGCATAGCCCCCTCTGACTATAGATAGAAACCCTGACTGACTGAAGAGATTATGCACACAGACAGCACTGCAGCATATCCCCAACAACTGACAATTACATAAACACTGGAGCTATGACAGCAGCTGTAATATTGACTTAGTTCTTTGACAGCCATTAAATAGGCTGGCATGATAAAACAGAGCTACAGGCCTGCAGTGTTTCCATGCTACTACCAAATGTCAGACACGCTCATACCAGACCCTTCATGAAATCAGATCTGCTACGTGACTCGGACCACGCACACTCTCCAAAGCTCTACTTGTAAACATGAAAGGGTCAGAGAAAGACAACGTTCTGGGGACTACCCAACAACTTAAATCTTAAATATATTCAGGAGTTTATACTATATTTGTTATGGTGCGCCAAAAATCAATTACAGTATTTTTTACTTTATTTGTATTGTTTACTAAAACATGTTTTGCTCTTCTTTATTTGTGAAAAAATGTTGGATGATCATCTCAAAGTGAACATATTTTACTTTATAATTTCAAATATCTGCTAGTGCAGGTCAAATCATTCATAACAACAACAAACATTTAAATAAGCATGTTGACCTCTAGTTGAGTAATAATTTAAATCAGGAGCATTACAAGAATGAAGTGAAGTTAATCAACTAGCTGATGCACTCACACTGAAGCACACACAGTATTTCTGCTCAAGTAGTGCAAGACCTTGTCCTTGGCTGTTGCCCATATGAAATTAACTGTTTTGACTCTCATCAGGAAAAGAATTCAGCTCAACTGCAGGCCGATATCTTCCCATCACACAAAGTCTTTACAATAATAATAATAATAACTTTATTTATATGGCACCTTTTTAAAAACACAGGTATACAAAGTGCTTTGACAAACAGGAAAGGCAAAAACAAGAACAAAGCAAACTAAACCAATCACAGAAGAACATAAACAACAGCAAGAACATAACAAATGCAAAATACTCCAAATAATTAAAGACAATTCAACAGAAAAGAACCCATATAGCAAGATACCCAACAGACATATATAACCCGACCATCATAAGAACCCAGGCAAAACAAGAAGTTGTGGAGCTAACTGCTCAACCAGGAGGAAGAACTTCACATCAAAACAAATGCAGCAACAGCCCACCTCCCCAAGCAGCCAAAGGGAACACTGTGAAACAGTGTGTCAGAGTCAGTCAGATGTGATCTCTGGACAGCTCGCTCTGCATCATGCAGAATCACAACATGTGACAAAACAGGTTCAAAGAAAGTCAACGGAAGCTTTGGGAACTGGCAGGGCTTGAAATATCGGATGAACAGGTCCAAGGTTTGTATTTCAACTTCTACCAGCACTACACATGAGGATGACGATGATCCAATGAGTACAGGAGGGAAGGACTGCAATGCCTGGTTACAGACAGGTTAAGTCACTTGTGTTTTCATCCTCTCATTCACTTCCACCTGGATAATGAAGATAATGATAGGAGTCTAGACGCTGTGTGAGATCATGAAACATAATATTATAGACAGGCTTTAATTGTGTTTCACATCACAGTGCTTTCTAAAGTACAACTTCAGAGCCTTGTTAAATGATATTCTACAGTTCCCTCATAAGGAAGTCATTTTTAATATAAAAACTGAATATTTTGTTGTTGTATGACAGCCACAGACAAAGTAACAGCCATGAGAAATCAGCCATGGTGTAGAGAGTTTAAATCTTTTGATGTTGGAGCACTCAGAAAATGAATGAATATTACAGATTTTTACTTAAATTGTTATAAACAGCAAGGCAGATCGCTATAAGGAAACACAATAGTGACGCATTTCATGTCCCACTATTTGTGCAGCATGAAACAGAGTCAGCAACATGTCCGGTGTTTAAGCAGAAAGAACCGGAAATCCAAACTCAAACCCTCAGTGGCCAGATATAGAAACAGTAAAAGCTCCCAAATGAGAAACTTTCAAACACACTCTCACCTGTGCCAGAGAGCTGTACATGGACAGCGGTAGGTGGACCATGCGCAGGACAGCAGCCTTGACAGACAGCTGGGAGCTTGTGAGGGTCTCATGTGTCATTGTTGCGATCTATCCATGACTTGGCAACTCTCTTATCCCCATCTCCGTTCTGCAGGACCTGAGAAGGATGACAGGAGTTAGTGGCACACAAGGATTTAACCTTCCTGGCTCAGGGGGGATAAAATGACGTTATTACATAAATCCTCTAACATACAGTGTGTGCAAGTAGCAAGGCCTCCCTTACCAGAGTTGAGCCGTGCTTATAAACCCTTTTTATATTGTGAAAATACTTTTTGATTACATAAAATTTCATTAAATGCAATCTAACAGGTTAATGAGCACGCCCCCCAAAAAAGGTATGAAAATATTTTAAATCTTACTTTATATAAAACTAGAGGAACAAATAGTCTTTAGCTGTCTGTAAACATATAATTGGTGTCTCTAAACACAATCACACACTTTAGAACAACTAAGCCGCTAATAATCACCTAAACAGGACAACATGCAACATCCACTTAAGTTTGTTAAAGAGACTCATGAGGCTCATCACAAGGATGATCATCCCCATGTGATGGCACGTCTCACGCTGACAAAAAGGTCGTTCTTCGTCACCAACTACTTACATTTAAAAATGGTAATATCATGTTTGTTGTGATAGTTTTTTCACACGCTGATAAATTTCCAGTTGACTTTTATTTGTTGTGGGAAAACATGAAAAAATAGTATGGGATCTTTAGAAGCACAGACAGAGGGACAAAAGTATGGATACATGCTACTGACAGGTAAACACTGAGAATACTGAAGAAGCAGAGAACTGGTTCTTTTCCTTAATGTCCAAATGAAATGAGAATATTTTCCTCTTGAATGTGTCTTACATGTTGTTCTAATGCTTTACTGTCCCTAATGTGAAAACAAACAACTTGTAGTATGGATTGTCTAGTCTTGATCTCGATCATTTCTATCACTTAAATGTACAGCAGACACTGACAGCATTCAGTAACAAATCAGTCTTCCAGTAGTCTACACTGGAACTCCTCCAGGAGTCTTTAAAATGTGTTAAATAAAACAAATTTAAAAATTAAAAAATTAAAACAGCACACTTCTCTCTGAAGCAGTTTGTTATGTTCATCATGTTAACACACATTAAGAAAATAACCCTGTCAACTCTTGTTGGCCTATAGGGCAGCATAAGATTGGCTTACTTATCTAACAAGGCTAATAAAGGCTAGCTGTGTTAGCAAATTGTGTTCAAATGGCTGATAAAATCAACTGACAGCATGAGAAATACGCGCATGAGCTCGGGGGCTTACATGTAAGGAGTTGAGGTTAAAATGCTATCACCGGTACATTTGTTGGTGTCCTCCACAGAGTTTTGTTCCCGGTGTTATACCCGGTCCTCTCGCTCTGACCTCAGCTGCAGCCCAGTGAAGGACTCAACACTGCCGCACGCTCCCATCCAGCGTGGCTTTCAAAATAAAAGCATGCCAACTTGTAATCTTTATGGAGTTTGCGCGCCCCCCCTCGGCTTTATGATATATAACACATTTATAATGTGAGGTTTTAATAGTAAAGCAGATAATATTTCTTCCGAAGTTGATGAAATTACTTCATTCGATACGAAAAGGAATCTCGACTTTTAAGTATTCAAAAACATCTATTAAAAAAAAATCAATTCACATTTCTGAGACAAACTTAATCAACACACATAAGTTAATTAATTTACTTTAATGTCCGATTATGACATATATTATAATTATGAGGAAAGTAGTCAAATAAATGTGAAGATGAAATGTTATACGGTGGAGTAAAAAACATGGTAGGTTAAAGTTTATTTTTTTTACATTTCACATTTAACATTTTAAAAACTGTCTTAGGCTATTATCTCATATTTTCTTAAAAATGTCAAAATTTCCGACTTACAAACTTATGTAGGCCTGTTTAACTTTTAGAATCATCACAAATAAAACATTCCCCTGCTTATCTACAAAAAAAGACCAAATACCTCATGATGTATAATGTTCCAATGTTTTCATATTATGGAAAGAAAAAACATAATTTTGATAATGAAAAACCACATGCTTTGCAATCTTGTAACTATTTCTTACAAATACCTATTTCTTTTACATTTTAGCCATTATTGGCAAGATTAATATAATACTATGCTTTTATCCTCCGCCTCTCAACTTACATAATAACACAATAATAACTGGAACATAGATAAAGAGGAAGGAAATAATTCAATGAGTTTATCAAATCTTTGCAATGCTTTTATCACTCGCACTTAACATTTGATGTTGTGAATCTTGAGTGTTTCATCACTGTATCACAGTATGCTATTATCACGGTAGATGGCGCTTGGGATGGGTTGAGAGGTTCACCTTCTATTGCTTTTACTATTTATTTTCAACAGGTGACTCTTTTTATCTCCCCAGTCCAGTTATCTTTATTTGGAGGAAGTACATTTTACAGCAGCAATTAGACCTTTTCATGACTTTACGACAAGTGAATACACATCTACTACTCTATGTCTTTTCTCTACTTACAGTGGCTTTATCACTGGCGTCAATGTTGGTATTACAAGATTATTAATATCTATCTGTGATTCTCTTCAAAGTTATTTTTATTGAATTTTAGATAATTACACACATTAACACAAACAGATCCAACCCCAATACAATCCCCCCACCCCTTGCTGTCACTCACGTATAAAGACTCTTTCACTACCTTGCCATATTCTGTTGACGGTTAAAATGAAAGAATAGTTGTTGAGGCACTTGGTGAAAAATAAATAAAATAAACATAAATATACACAATTAAGTATTAATGATAATATTCTGATGTATAGGTAAGGTGGAATAAAAATAAATAAATTAAAATAATAAATACATAAATAAATAAAAGCCAGAAGCAGCATTACCAGGTGTCTATCTGTGATTCTATATAAATATAATATAGTTTCAATAACTGTAGGAGTAAACTTTATATATAAGATGTACAGTAGGATGGGGAGGTTTTTTTTTTTAAACCGGAAAGGGGCGGGGCTACGTGTAACGTTAGCAACCACGCTGAGGGACAGGAGCGGTGGTATCTAATGTGAAGGATTGCTCTCTCTTGAAATATGCCTCTAAATCATAACTAAACCCGTGTCCTTGACATACGTTGAGGTTGGATATACCCGAGAAAACACCCCGTCCTCTTAATCGTTCAGGTAAGGCTCAAATCTATGGTTAATTTGGGGGACTGCTAGTTAGCTGCTGCCTGGTGTAGTCACAGTGGGACGGTCGATGATCGTGTGTTACAGGAACGATAGCTGGCTAATATAAGCTAGCGTGTTACTAGCGAGGTGGTTATCAACAGTAAACCATCCAGCTCTCACGATCATCTTATGCAAGTAAACATTTCCGTCGCTTGCCTTAAAGACTTTTATTTAAAAAGCGTAGTGTGTGGTCTGCTTGAGGTTAATCGTCATTTTTTTTTTGCTGACCTGTGATTGCCCGGAGGCTAATGCTACCCGCGGAAGGCTGTGCTAGTCCGACCTGTGACGCTGTCATCGGCTCGCCCCGGGGTTTGACAGCTCTGTTCGAGCAGGGGACAAGGCCAAAGCCACACACAACGGTCTAACCTTATGCTTTCTTTATATAAAACACAGAAAAGACCTCTTCACACAGCTGAAAAACCTGTCCGAAACAAGTTTTTTTTTTAACCTGGTGAAAACGTCGCACTGTGTTGCTTTGTTTGCTAAAATCAACTGAAGGAAATGCTGGCTGACTTTGCCCTTTACAGTGTTATACTTGTTACAGAGCACCTTGGCATGCTTATGTAGTGATTTTGAGTGTTAATTTATGATCATTTAGTGTTTTAGTCACCCATATGATGACTCTGAGTATGACAACATCGGGGTTGTGTGCACTGTCTGGTTTGGGTCAACGCCCCACCCTGCGTGTGCGACCTCTTTGTCCACAGTGAAATTCTCTGTATTATACTTTTTATTGATTGGGCAGAAGGTGATAGGATGAGAATGGGGTTGAGATAGGAAATTATAGACTTAAGCTCCAGAGGCTTGTTAGTAAAACCACCGGCTAATTCGATTTTCCTTGGTTGTAAGTAACACAATATTAGCCCCTTGTTTAGTGACTGTTAACTGTTGGGTGGACTGTAAGTTCACTAGTTACAAACTTTAGACTTTAACAAGAGTTGAAAGACAATAGCAACAGTAGCTGACCACATGCAACCAGTTAGATTTTGGAATAGACTCACAGATAGTATTGATGAGGTGAGTCAACAGGCGTATTGACTTGTACAAGCCTGAACATGAACTGAGCTGAGCAATCCGCTTTCCCCTGTGTTCATGTTGATCTCCCACTTGACCTGTTGATAAATGTGATACCAAGGGTGTAAGAAAATATCAATACTCAACAAAAAGTAGTGCCACAATTTGTATGTACGGGATGTAATGTAATGTGATATGTAATCGCAGATCCCAGTTATTGCCATTTATTGAATTATGAAATGTGTCATATGTATCCCAAGATTCTTGCAATAACACAGCCCAGCTTGACAGCTGTCTTGTATGGTTGTTGGAAAGCCAAACATGTGCTCTCCACAAATATGTGTATTTGTGGAGAGAAGTCTGTGTGTTGACATTCGGGGAACATGTTTTATTGTCACTATGTTTGTTAGGTTACAATCATGTGCCGATCAGCTCATGCACTGCTGTCATCATCCCACTGATGTTCAAATATTCCTAGAAAGTGCAAATGTCAAAGCACACATTTTAACAAGGTCTTACTTATGCTGTGGCCACAGGCAAAATGGTCACACTTTTCATAATATGGTGCGTATGGTAGTTTGCAACTCTGAAGTCTGAAGGCCTTTTCAGCCAGATAGTCATGCTGATAAATATTTCGGATAGATTTAGATACTTAGTCAAGACGGTGTACACAAAGAGTTGCACGTTACAGCAAAGTAAAAACTTTAACTCTCTTCTTTCCTGACATTTTCACACATTAAGCCAAAGCATTTTTATTAAGATGCTTTGTTTTTGATATACATACTTGTTTCCCGTAGAAGATGTGTCCTCAAGCCGTTTTCTAAAACATGGCGTGCATGTATAATTTGTCTCTTCCGAGAAATGATTGCTCACATTTGTTTTTGTCTATCATGTAACTGTTCTTCCAATCTCTCAAGCAGCTTCATAATAAACACTTTCAAGGGTTTCCTCTGTCGTCCCATTGGTCAGGGCATGCAGTCCTGTAGCTGCCAAGCTTCCTCTTGAAGCACAGACTAAATAATAGAAGTTGCAGAACTCAGTCGTTTAAGTATAACAAAATGTATTAAGGGAACAAATGTAGGCAAATTGACCCTAAATAAAAACTCTCCAAATCTTCCAGAATGAAATGTAATCCATGACAGTGCTGCTCTGCCTCCTCTTGGTTATAATCATTTAAAAGGGCTCTTAACCAGAACTAATGAAGGCATTGGTATTTTGGTTCGTGCACATCATTTCTAAGAGTAGGTCTTCCTTTTATGTCCTGCTGTCAGGCGAAATGGACTAAACTCACAAGGCTTTATATTTAGAAGCACCTGATTTTTGATTCACTGGTTGGGCTTTATTGATTGGCAGATTGAAATCATCTGAACTTTTTCATGAGTCCGCATTATCAACACAGACATTCAGATGCTGCTGAGTTGTTGACAGCTGTGGCATGATGTGCTGCTTGGTGTTTCTGATGTGTGGCTGATAATAAGGGAATGATGTGTCCGTCATGTAGGCATGGAAACTTCAGCCGTGGTGTGACAGTGACTCAGGTTACAGTAAACGTCTGTTTTCCCTGTCCTCTGTGTTGTTCCTTGGGGTTTATCTCATGTTACTCTATCAAATATCACACGAAGGGTTGATTAAGTTTCTTTTTAAACAAGTACTGCATTGATTTCTCTGAAGTAGTCAATGCTGGATATGTAATAAATGTGTATCCCCCCTCCTCTCTCTCTCTCTCGCTCTCTCAGACTTGTGGCTGAGTGATGCCGCCAGCATCCAGCTGTGACTGCCCCCATCTGGACTCTGTGGGGGAGATCACCAAGGAAGAACTTATCCAGAAATCCCATGTGAGTGACCCTCCATCACTACTCCATCCCCTGTCTTGCTGATAGCTTAGACTCCTTTTATAATAAAAATATAGCAATTTTTTTTTTTTTTAAGAATGTAGATTGAATCTACAAGAAAGCACAACAGTGCATGTTCCTCCTGAGGAGGCTGAAAAGTTTTAACGTCAGAGAGGACATCTTACCAACAGTATACCGGTCACTTGTTGAATCAGTCCTCACATTTAGCATTTTAACCTGGTACAACTTTCTCACTGAAAAAAAGCAAGAAAAATCTCACAAGAATCATCAAACCTGCAGGTAAAATCACAGGCACCACCCAAATCCAACTGTCAACTTG